TGGAGGTCTTTTCTGACCTAAAATAATTCCATGATTCTTTGTGTGGTATTTAAAAAAACGTTTGGGATAAAAAAACGCCTCATCCCACTGGCTGTGGTTCAGCTTTCCCTACAATACCATGCAATGCTCATATTTTTCTCCTTGATTTAGAAAAAAGCCCTCAGATGGTGTTAAAACCTTCTCACAGTTCTTGTGTAACTTGTTTTTACTTTCTTAGTCCCTGCTCAGTCCCATTGTTCTCCTTCAGTTCTTTTCCATGGCTGGATTTCACTCTCATTCCCTGTCAGCAGATCCCGGTGCCGATGTCAGTGAGGGAGGAGCAGCTCATCACCTGGGAAATTGTGCCTCAAACCCAGAGATTTTATATGAAATGAAGGCTGTATATTGTCTTAGGGAAATACATTTATTTTGAAATGTGATGGAGTTGGGATGGCCCTGGAATACTCTCATTATTGTGATTCTTGCTGCTCCGTCCACCCTCCAGTGGGAGGGGCAGGAAAAGATTTGGATTTCTTTAGCCAGCTGTGATTTATTGACAATTGAAAACAGCTTTATTTTTGTGACTTGTATCTAACTGTGCAGCTAGGAGAGGAGAGGTTATCACAGTGACAAACCCCTGGATGAAGGTGGGATCCCAGTAAGAGATGGGGCTCTGTGGAAGTGACTGGATGTGTTGGTGTGGAGGGAGACCTGGAATTGCACCCTCCAAACCAAAAAATCCTGGATACTGCCACAGACTGCTCCTTCCTGGTGTAGGAACCAGAGTCTCTGAAGTTTTTGTTTTGGACAAAGATTCCTGGTAGTGTTAATTTGTGGGAGGGTCTTTGGTGCGTGTTTAGGATTCCTCGTTTATTTGCTAATTATTTTGCAAATTCATGAAACTGTTAAAGGAGCATTTACTGTGGGGTGTTTTTTGTGTTTGTTTTTTTTTTTCCAAGCCTTCATCCAGGTGTTGGCCATCCACTTCTCCCAGTGTAAATCTTCTTCCTCTTAGTTGTGTTTGAGCTTTCTGTGTTCTTGTCCCTGGTCCAGCAGAGCCTCGGCTGCAGGCTCACGGGTTCTTCCCAAAGTGCTGCTGTGAGAGAAGCTGGAGTAATGCTGGAGTGGATCCAGCTGGGATTGACATTCCTGGTATGTTCCCCCACCCCCCAGCAGGCTTCAAAAAATCTTGGAGCAGGCTAATAATAGCTGGAAGTGTGTCTGGGAAGGGAAGCCTGGCAGGTAGGGAGAGAGCAGCTTTGGGGATAGACCTTGGCTTAGTCACATCCGAGTTTTCCTGAATTTCTTGGGGCTGCCCTGAGCAGAGACAGGAATTGGACTCTGATGATCCTTTTGGATCCCTTCCAACTCAGGATATTCCACGATTCTGTGATTCAGCACCTCCCCTTTAGCAACCCAGTGGAAGATTTTCCTCTCCCGCTTCTATCAAGGGGGGAAAACCCAAAAATTAAATTGTGAGGTTGGGTTTGGCTTCGAGATAAATCAGCTGTCTGCAGCCCAGTGTGGAGGTGGTGGAAACACAGGTTTGTGCTAAAAAAGACTTGTTTTGGTTGTGATCCTGCCCACAGTGGCCGCTGGGGCCCGGAGGAGCTCTCGGGGTCGATGCTCCCTGAGCAGCACCAGCCCGGCATCGTCATTCCTGGGCTTTGCAGGGAATCAGCTCATGAGGAGTGAAATCCCTGGAGCTCTGAGTTGCTCTTTCCCTGGCAGCTGGCCAGCTTTAGGACCAGGTTCCTTGATCCCGTGTCCATCTCCGTGTCCCACGGCGGTGTCACCGCCCAGCACGTGGCAGTGACACGGCTCCTCCTCCTCTGAGGTGTTTGCTCCCGAAATATCCCCAGGGGAAGGACTGTTTGAAGTGTACAGTAGACAATAAATAATTCTAGGTTGTGTTGATTAATATAAGGAATGAGTCAGTTCTGCAAGTTAAAGAAAATCTGAAAAGCGTATTTTGACAAAGCATAGTATTAATTTTAATATTGTAAAAAAAAAAAAAGAAAAGGAAAATATCTAAAGTATACAGAGAAAAGATGTATATCCAAATGTCTGAGGAGTTTCAAGATAATCTACTTTTGTTTCCTGTTGGTTTCTATTCCATGGTGTACATATTGTGTGGATGGAACATCGGCTGTTTTAATACTATTGTTAAATTGTATTTTTATTTTGTGTTAAACTAATCATCACAGACTCAGCTTTATTTTGTTTATGTAAAGGTTGCTATGCTCTGTAGGTATAAACCCGAGAATTCTATTTTAACAGAAAAAGCATTTTATATTATTTATTAAATACATGTTTCTCCAACTTCTGACATTCCACAGAATTTCTGCTCCGTTTATGTATGGAAGTGGCAGCTCCTTTCAAGCAGGATCAGCCAGCTTTATTCTGTTTTTCATGACAAAGTAGGATAGATTCCCTGAGGCTGTGCATCCCTTCTCTCCCTGCACAGGGACTCCAGGCTCTATCAGGACCATCTCAGGTGGCTCCTGAATGGAGAAACACCTGGAAAAATCCTACAAATCCACCCCTCAGTGGGATATTTCCACATTTCTCCTTTATCCCTCAGCATTCTCAGAGCAAGTGTTTATTCACTGGAGTCTGTGCCGAGTTAAAGAGAATCAATGACCTGAATTGGGGCAAGGAGTCAGCGTGGTGTTTGATCCAGCCCAGCCATCAGGGAATTGCAGAGCTCTGTCATTCCCAGGGGAAGGAGCGAGTGGAGGGAGAGCCTGGACACGGGGCTGGGCTCAGGACCCACAGTGTCCTCACTGGAGATGGGTTTGGTGTTTTGGGGGATCACTTGATCCTTAAAAGCAGGATCCTGAGGCAGGAGCAGTGCTAGATCACTGTCCGAGGGCCAGGGCAGGACTCTGCTTGGTGTCACATCTCAGGGGGGTGGTGGCCACCAGGGACTCTGCAGGGATTGTCCCTGGACTGTGGGGAGGGTGACACCAGGCAGGAGCCCTCTGTGGTGCCATCTCTCCAGCAGCAGCCTCTGCTGGGCACATCTGGGCACATCTGCAGAGCCAACCCCAGCACCTCTGTCCCCAGTGAGGTACAGAAATAGCCCTAAATTTATCAGGTTGCTCAGTTCCTAAAAATAATTCCATTGTGAGCCTGGCCTGTGCAGTTTGAGGAGTGCTTGAGGTATAAAATTGTGTGCTCTCAGTTTCCACGGTGGTGGGGCTGGAGTCTGTGCTGGTCAGGGCTGATCCCCGTGGCATTTCTGGGTGAAAAGTGGCATTTTCCATTGCCACATTTCCATTGCCGCACTGCTGCTGAAGTTCTCTCTGTGCTGAGGGGCTGCCTGGGGCAGGGAGGGATCCCTTCTGTGCTCCCCAGAGCAGTCTCTGCCTTTTTTCCCTGTTTCCCTCTCTGATCCAGATGGATTTTGGGGTGAGCTGTAGCCCAAGCTGTTCCTGGAGGGAGTGGGGAGCTGGCAGTGCTGGTGGCATTGTGGCTCTTTAGTGTCACCCCTGGAAAGGTGCCGTGGTGGGGACAGTGCTGCTGGCCTGGGGTGTGTCCAGGCAGGGATTTGGCAGAGAACCTGGGGACAGCTGCAGGAAGGTGGCTTTGTCCAGGGCCAGGTTGGTCTGGGTTTGTGTGACACGCTGTGTTTCCAGGCTGGAAAAGGAGATGGGCTGAGGTATGGGAGGTATCTCCTCAGGGAAAGGGAGAGAGCAGCCAGTGGGTGAGATGGCACAAAAAATGTGTGTGAAAAACAGAATAAAGCAGGAGCATCCTCAGAGAGGAGATTTGTGAGCACTTCTAGTGCCTCTCTAGGTCCTTTAAAACAAAAAGGAGCAGATTCACACGAACAGCTACTCGCGATGAAGGAAATGATCGAAAGAGAACCTGTCCAAAATGTGTAATTAATGGTAAGCAAAGCCAGGATCTGTAAATAACTTTAGATATTGTATCGATGAGATCATTCCTTGTTTTATGTACTTGGCTCTTTCCATATTTATTGTGGGGAGGAGGGTCCCATGAGCTGTGGCCTCGCTCCTCACGGACTGTCCCGGAGTTTACAGCCCCGTCGTGGCGGGTGTGCCACACTCGGTTCTTGCCGCCAGTATTTTTTTAACGGATTATTTTGGCACAGCTAAGCTGCTTCTGTGTGTTGGTCAGTACAACTGCTCTCCTACCAGACCAGACCCAAATAAAAACCGTCCTTTGCGTGTGTGCTGGTGTCCTGTTCTTTCCGTGTCACCCGTTCCTTCCCGCACCGACCGTGAGGCTGTACTGGGCTGTACTGGGATGTACTGGGATCTACTGGCTAAACCCCACTGATTCCTTCCCGCACTGACCGTGAGGCTGTACGGGCTGTACTGGGATGTACTGGGATCTACTGGCTGGACCCCACTGCCCCATGCACAGGTAAGTCCCTTCCCCCCAGCCCTGTGCATGGTGTGTTTGTCCTGGATTTTCCAAGGGACACCCCAGCGGTGTCCTGCAGGTGAGACGTGCTGGCTGTGCCAGGAGGGACTGGGAGGTGTGTGACAGGTGACCAAGGGTGGCTTTCCACCAACAGTGGCCAGGCTGCACTACCACCTGGGAAGGATCATGGAAACCACATCCTTGTGCTGTTCCCAGGTGGGTTTGGAGTTGGTGAGATGCTCAGCCAACCCTCAGTCTCCTGCCAGGGGACTCCAGACTGACAATCCTGCTTCCTTTCTTACTAGCAGAGCCATTCTGGCAGAGGGTGCCGGTGCCCTGGGTGTGTCCCTGGAGCTTTTGGGTCAGACATTGCCCCTGTGCCGCTGGACTTGTCCTGAGCAGGTGACATGCTCCCTGACTGGCTGTTGGGAGCTGGGACATGTGGGACACAGGTCCTGCTGGGCCCTGGGGGGTCACCCTTTTCCCCATGTGGTCACCACGTGTCCGCTGTGCTGCTCCCCTCCCACCTGCCCTGGCCGGGTGCTGACCACGCTGGTGTTGGTGCCAGGAGCTATTTTGAGCTCTGCTCCCAGGTCCTCCTCCAGCTCGGCCCCATCTCAGGACTGGGGGAACTGGGGTGCACTGGGGAGCCCCGTGCTGGGCTCCCAGCCCAGGGTGTCCCCCTCGGGCAGCCCTAGGGTGCTCTGGGGGGCTCACACCCAACCACAGCGCTTCCCCCATTGCTTTGGGGTGCAGAGGTGTGCACCAAGGAGGGCACGGGTGACACACGTGTGCCAGCAGCTGTAGAAGCCAAGGAACAGGAGGGCCCCGCGGTGCCGCCGCCTCTCCCCAGCCGAGGCCCCGGTGCCACCGCCGCGGGTATTTTTAGCAGTGACATGTGTCACCTCAGCTGCCACCGCGGCGGGGGCGGGGGGAGGCTGCTGCTGACCCTCTCGGCGCTCCCCGCGCTGCCGCCGCCGCTCTCGGCTCGCCGGGATCCCGGTGCCGGTGTTGGGACATCGGCACCCACCGCCCCCACCAGGTACCGGCGCTCGGGGGGCCCCGGGCTGGGATTCTGTGGGTGCGCCGGGCAGGGGGCCCCTCGGCCTGGAGGGATATTTTTAGCTGGGAATGGATGGCCATAGCGGCAGCCCCGGCTCCGGGGGCGGCTTCCAGGCGCGGGGCTGTGCCGGGGAAAGAAACATGGCAGGGCAGCGATGGGAGCGGGGATGGGGACGGGGACGCTGCTCCCTGCCCCGTGCAAGGTGGTGGCTGGGGACCCCTCGATGGCCTCGGCTATGGCACACACCAGGGTGGCAGCGGGTCCCAAGTAAGGACCGATCCAAACACCCTCGGCCCGCCCGGGGCTGTGTCCTGAGCGGGAGGAGCGCGGTGCTGGTGGCGCTGGTCCCGCCGGTGCCTCTCTGGGTGCTCGCTCAAGGCACGTCCCCTCCGTGCCTCGGTTTCCCCGAGGAGGGTCCCTCTCCGGCCGGGGGTGACAATGCTCTGTGGTTCGCCCTCTCCGGGCTCTGCGGTGCCATCGGGGCAGTTCTCCGGGGGCAGCAGAGCCCGGCTGGGGGGACAGCGCGGGGACAGCGCCGGTCCCTGAGGGCACGTGGCGCTGGGGGCAGCCGCCCGGGAAGGCAAGTGACATTCCCAGCCCGCTCCTGGCCGCTCCTGCCCTTTACTGTACAAGGAGATGCGGCTGCCGGGGAGGCACAGCAGGGCCGGACGAGCCCCGACGCGCTCGGTGCATGAATGATCCCGACAGGTGAAACGGCGCTCAGCCCCGAGTGGGGCACGGATGGGCTCCTGCGGCCATCCCACCATCACCCCCATGCCGCCAGCCCTCTGTGCCACCACCTCCCCACGCTGCCCTGGTGGCTGCTGGTGGCCTCCCCGTCCCCCGCCGCGCCCCAGCGGTGCCGTGAGCTCAGGTGGGCAATGCCCGGCAAGGTCACGGTGCTGCCGACCTGGCACAACTCTGGGGCCAGCAGCAGCCCCTGGCTAACTCTCTCCTCTCTCTCTGCCCGGCGTGTCCCCACGTGTCTCTGCACAGCACCGTCCTGCCTCGCCGCCACCATGGCCATCTCCTCGCGCCTGGCGCTCTGGGAGCAGAAGGAAAGTCTCGGTCCCTGGTGGTGTTTTTGGGCTGGGTGCTCTGGCTGCCTGGGAGCTCAGTGCTGGGGGTGTCACTGCAGCAGCATCCCCACAGCTCCCTGTGCACTTCCTCGTGCTGTGTCCGGCCCCCCTGGCTCTGGGCTCGCTCACAGCCTGAGTGTTCTGGTTTGAGTGATTTTCGCCTGCCTGCGTGAGCCTGGCAAGGCAGGGCTTGATGCTGGTGCTGCTGTTGGAAAAGCTGTGGGGCTGGTTTTGCCCTGGGACCTGCAGGGCTGCATGTGGCTGCGGTGATGCTGGAGCTGCTTCTTGCCTGGTTGCAGCCAGGATGGTTCCTGCGATGGCCAAGCCCGGGCTGTTGGCACAGAGCAGAGCTGGCACAGAGCAGAGCTGGCAGCGCACGTGGGCTCCTGCTGTGCCAGCCCTCGGGGGCTGCACCAATCTGGGCGCTTCTCTCTGGGCTTTTCTTCTCGGTGCTTCTGCTCCCACAGCATCCCTGACGCAGCCTGGTGCCCCAGGGTCTCAGCAGGAGCAGGGTGCCCTGCTGCCACTAACAGGCTGTGCTGGCTCCTGTCCCTGTGCCTGCCCTGTGACCCAGCTCTGCTCCCAACCCCAGATTCGTGACGAGGACCGGGGGCCACCCCCGTCGGCACCCCCCCTGCTGCTGTCGGTCATCCCCGGCGGGTTCATCAAGCAGCTGGTGCGGGAGACCGAGCAGGAGGCCAAGGCGGCGCGGCGGAGGAAGGAGAGCAGGCTGGGCACCAAGGAGGAGGTGAGCACTGAGTGACAGCACCGGGCAGCTGGGTGTCCCCAGGTGTCCCCAGGTGTCACAGCAGGCTCCTCTCCTTTGCTTGGCAGCCCGCCGGGAAGGAGGGAGAGAGCCGAGCCGGGGACGGCCCCGCTGCCCGAGGAGGGGCGGCCAGCGAGGGGCCACTGCGGAACGGGCTGAAGGCAGAGGGGCAGGGCGGCGAGGGGGTCACGGCCCCCCCTCACAAGGAGCTGCCCCCTGTGCTGGGGACTGTCCCCAGCAAGACCCCGGCCCCTGCACCTGGCCCAGCAGCGCCTGCCCCCAAACTGGCAGAGACAGCTCCCAAAAAAGCAGAAACATCCCCCAAAACAGCAGCACCTGCCCCCAAACTGGTGGAGACACCCCCAAAAAGAGCAGAGACCCCCTGCAAACCAGCAGAGACATCGAAACCAGCAGAAACATCCCCCAAAACAGCAGAGGCTTCTTCCAAACCATCAGAGACCACCCCCAAAGCAGCAGAGACCCCTCACCCAGGGGCTCCCAAGGTGGGAAAGCTACCGTGGCTCAGGAAGAACCCCAAGGACACCTTCCTGGGGGGCAGCCCCCCAGCTCCAGCCCCTGCACCCGGCCAGGGCCCCCAGCGTGGCAGCAAAGTCCCAGTGAAGGAAGGGGACACACTCAAGGGGACAGTCCCTGAGAGCACCAAGAAGGAGAAGGGGACAATCCCTGAGAGCACCAAGAAGGAGAAAGGAACAATCCCTGAGAGCACCAAGAAGGAGAAGGGGACAATTCCTGAGAGCACCAAGAAGGAGAAGGGGACAATCCCTGAGAACAACAAAGAGAAGGGGACAATTCCTGAGAGCACCAAGAAGGAGAAAGGAACAATCCCTGAGAGCACCAAGAAGGAGAAGGGGACAATTCCTGAGAGCACCAAGAAGGAGAAGGGGACAATCCCTGAGAACAACAAAGAGAAGGGGACAGTCTCTGAGAGCACCAAGGAGAAGGGGACAGTCCCTGAGAGTAACAAGAAGGAGAAAGGGATACCCCTGAGGCACGAGGAGCGCCCAGCCAAGGTGAAAGCCCAGAGGGAGCTGTTGTCAGCCAGGAAAGAGCCAGAGAAGATGAAGAAAGATGTTGGAGGCAGCAAGAAGGAGCCAAGGGAGATCAAAAAGCCTGAAAAAGCCACAAACAAGTCAGAGGGTCTCAAGGGGGAGCCGGGAGGAATCCAAGAGAAGTCCACAGATGTGGAAAAAGATGTGGGGAAGGTGAAGGAAGAGTTGGGAAAGGGTAAAGAGATGGTGAAAGAGAGCAAAGGGATCGGCAAGAGCACAGACAAGGACCAGGCTAAAGAAACATCAGGAAGGAGCAGAGAGATGAGCAAGAGCATGGAAAAGGAGCAGGATAAAGAGGCATCGGGGGAGAGCACAGACAAGGACCAGGTGATGTGTCGGGGGTTATCTGGGTTTTGGAGCACTGGTGCATTTTCTGGTTTCATGCAGCTCCTCCCTTTCCCGTGGGCTGGGGCTGGTGGGAAGGTGACCCCAGGCCTGGATGGGCCAGGACTGTGGAAATGTCCCTGTCCGTGGGGCAAAGGCAGTTTGTTCAGCTCAGTTCTCCTCCTGCTCCTGCCCAATTCCCCTCTGTGCTCCCCCCAGGCTCCGAGGGACGTTTGGTACGAAGCAGGGAAGGTGTGGCTGATCCAGCAGGACGGGTTCACCCTCGGTAACTCTCCCTGCTCTGCCCTGGCTCGGGAGCACAGCCTGCTCCTGGTGCTGTGCCCCGCTGGGTCTGGCTGGGTTTGGCCCCTGGCACACCCCACACCAGCTCTGCCTGGGTTCCCCCACACTCACCAACCTCTCCTTCAGCCACACAGCTGAAACCAGACGTGGGGACACCGGAGCTGCCGGCGGGGAGGGTGAGGGTGCGCCGGGACGAGGATGGCACTGTCACCGAGGTGGACGAGGACAGCGTGCAGAGGGTGAGCCCCTTCCCCGGGCTGGGGGTGCAGGGACAGTGCCAGGGCACAATGAGGCTTCTGCAGCCATCTCCCTGGGCTGGCTGTGCCCAAGGTGTCGGGGTGCCAGCGGGTCTGGCACAGCCCTGCCACGACAGCAGAGCTCGAGGGGTCTCTCTCTCCCTTCCCCAGACCAACCCCCCCAGCCTGGACCAGGCCGAGGATCTGGCCACGCTCATCAGCCTCAACGAGTGCAGCGTCCTGAACACGCTGCGGCAGCGCTTCCGAGCCCGCCTGCCCTGCACCTACGCGGGGCCCAGCCTGGTGGCCATCGCCACCCGCCCCGAGCCCGCCGACGGCGCCGGGAAGGTGAGAGAAGGGACCTGGGACAGCGGGATCCCCCGTGGGAAGCGGCCACCAAGCCTCCTGGGGACAGTGGCGGAGGGCGACGGGCGCGGCGGGGCCGGCAGGTGGCACCGTGGGACTGTCACAGTGCGGGGACAGCCGGGGCCGGGGATGCTCAGGGGACCTTTGGAACCGGGGATGCTCTGAGGACATTTGGGACCGGGGATGCTCTGGGGACTTTTGGGACCGGGGATGCTCTGGGGACACTCGGGACCGGGGCTCTGGGGATATTCAGGACTACGGTTGCTCTGGGGACATTTGGGACAAGGGATGCTGTGGGGACGTTTGGGACCGGGGATGCTCTGGGGATATTCAGGACTATGGTTGCTCTGGAACACTCGGGACCAGGATTGCTCTGGGAACATTTGGGACTGAGGATGATCTGGGAACATTTGGGACTGGGGATGCTCTGGGAATATTTGGGACTGGGATGCCCTGGGGACATTTGTGACAGGGGATGCTGTGGGGTGTTTGGGACTGGGAATACTCTGGGGACATTTGGGGACTTGGGATGCCCTGGGAACACTCGGGACCAGGGATGTTTTTGGGAGGGGGATGCTCTGAAGATCCTGATGCAGGAATGCTCTGGGAGTGCTTGGTCTTGGGGCTGGGAGAGCTCTGAGGACTCAGACCCGGGAGGTTCTGCACCCTGGGGAGAAACCATCACCCTGAGTGCCAACACCTTCAGGATTTTCTCAGTGAGAAGCCTGTTTGGGATGTGCTCTCTCACCCTCTCCCTGCCTGCAGGTTCCCAGGGGGAAGCGGGACAACCTTCCCCCACACATCTGCTCGCTGGCACACAGAGCCTACAGGAACCTGCTGCTGCAGCGGCACGACCAGGCCATCATCCCCCTGGGGCACAGCGGGGCCGGCAGGACCCGGTGCTGCCAGAGAGCCCTGGAGTACCTGGTGGGCACGGCAGGCAGCCTGGACGGCAGGGTGACAGGTATGGGCAGGGGGAACGGTGTGGGCAGGAGGAACGGTGTGAGCAGGGTGACAGGTATGGGCAGGGTGTCAGGTGTGGGCAGGGTGTCAGGTATGGGCAGGGTGACAGGTGTGGGCAGGGTGACAGGCATGGGCAGGGATGGCACTGGGTGCTCCGTGCTGGGCAGAGGCAGCACACAGAGCCTGTGCAGGCTGGGGGCACACAGCCACACAAAAACACCTGGATTTGTGCTCCCTGGGATGGCTCCTAAGCAGCCAGTGAGGCTGGAGGACAACAGCCACACAAAAACCTGGATTTGTGCCCTCTGGGGTGGCTCCTAAGCAGCCTGTGCACGTTGGGGACACACAGACACAAAAACACCTGGGTTTGTGCCCCCTGGGGTGGCTCCTAAGCAGCCGGTGTGGCCTCGAGTGCCACTGTCCCCATCCCAGACTCAACAGATTTGCTGCTTGGATCAACAGCAGCGGGAGGGAATTACTCGAGTGACTCTTTCCCACCTGCTCGGGTTACTGGTGACGCTGCTCAGCAGGCAGTGGCTTCAGAGGGCAGGGTTGGATTTCGGAGCTCTCTCGGGTACACCCTGCTCTTGCAAAGGGCTGAGGGACGGCCTGGAACAGGCTGGGCAGGCTGGCACGTCCCCTTCCTGTCAGTGTACACCCGGTGTGGGATGCTGACCCCATGCCCGAGCAGTTCCCCAAGCTGGGACAGACCCCAGAGGAGCAGGCAGAGGTGAGGCAGGAGGAGACATCTCCTCCAGAGCTGTGGGGTGGCTCAGGGGGCTCTGCTGGTGCTTTTGCAGTGGAGAAGATCCAGGCCATGTTCACAGTCCTGGGAGCCTTTGGGTCGGTGACCACCAGCCACAGCAGCAGCTCCACGCGCTTCTCCATGGTCCTGTCGCTGGATTTCAGTGCCACTGGCCAGGTCACTGCTGCTCACCTGCAGGTACCTGTCACCTGCTGAGGTGGGAGGGCTGTGGCTGAAAATGGGGGTCCTTGGGGTGGGGATGAGCCCCCCCTGAGCTGCACTTCCCAGCCAGGCTGGGCACAAGGAGCGATGCTCTGCTCCCTGCTCTGCTCCCTGCTCCTCCTGAACCAGAGGTGCCCAAATGCCCCCAAAAGAGCAGAAGCTCTGTCAGCAGCATGGCAGGGTCGCCCAGCCTGTCCCTGTCCCTGGCAGGGAGCTCGGGGCAGTGCTGGGATGAAATGTTGATGAGGAAATGTATAATTCACCGTTTCATTAGCAGCACCTCAGCCGCCTGGAGCTGAGCCTCAGAGGGCTTTTATCACTGTCAGGGCTCTTATCAAAGGCTCTTTAATCAGAGCTGCCTGTGCCCCTGGGCCTTGTCTGAGGGAGGAGGGGGCTGGAGCCTTGTCTGCTCCTGGGGAGCACCAGGGCTTCCCGCTGCTGGCCCTGCTCTGCCCTGGCCACCCACGGGGAGCTTGTGCAGGAATGTCCCTGTTAGAACCACCAGAACCACCCTGGCACGTCAGTGGGACAGTCTGGGGTGGGGACCCCCAGCTCTGCAGACTCACTGCTGGCTCTGGTGCTGGCACTGAACACCTTTGGCAAGGCTGGAGATGAGCTGGGCTTTTCTGGAGCCCAGGCAATGACTTATCCCACTCCTGCAGCATCTTTGCTGGGGCCATGGCACTGGCCGGACCTCTGGAAGCTCAGAGGGACCGTGGGTGCTGCTTTCATACACTGAAGTGTTGCTCCTCCATGCCTGGATCATGATTCAGCTCTTGCTTGCACAGCCCTGGGTGGGAGGAGCAGCCCCCAAACCCAGCTGAGTCCCTGCAAGGAGAAATCCAGCCCCTCCCTGGCAGCTGCCAGGAGCACCTCCCCATGTCCCTGTCCCCTTTTCCCTCCCCAGACCCTGCTGCTGGAGAGGGCCCGCGTTGTCCAGCAGCCCGAAGGAGAGAGCAGCTTCAACATCTTCCCACTGCTGCTGGCAGGGCTGGATGTGGCAGAGAGGTGGGTGTGACAGCCCCGGGCTGCCCAGGCATTCCCCATCCTTTGTACCCAAATTGCCTCCATCAGTGGGGTTTTGAGACCCCCTGATAAGAGACTGTGAGAGAAATCGCATTAAAGGGATCTTTCTGTGTGTAGAGAGATTTTATGAAATGAGAGCATTTCCTGATGGTTTTTTGCCCCTCCACTAAAGCTGAAATTGGGGTGATAAATGAGACAGAGATCCCTTTCCCTCTCACTTCTGGCTCCCACTGTGTCTGTCTCCCAGGCTGTGTCCCCTGGAGAAGGCTCCTGCTGCTCCAGCTGATGTCCCTGCGTGGGGCAGTGCTGTGGTGGCCTGTCCCATCCAGGTCCCTCAGAGGAGGGGTGCCTGGGGGTGCTGAGGGCAGGCAAGGAGGGAGCTTGACTCTCATTTTTTTTGTGACTTCTCCCAGAACGATGCTGCACCTGCACCAGGTGGCTGAGAGCAATTCCTTTGGGATCAAACCCTTCACAAAGGTAGGGAGAGGGAAACGCTGGAGTCTCGTGCCCACCTGAGGGGGGATGCTGCAGGGCACCCCCTTTGTCACCAGCAGCTGGAGGATGACTTGGAGTCCCTGGTTCCTGGGAGCCTGGAGGGGAGGGAGGGGATGTTGGGATGTGAGGAAAGGTCTGCCCAAACAGCCCCCCCAGCTCCCCTCTGCTGGGACTGGGGCTGCCCTCCCTGGGATGTGTGCTTGGGATGCCACAGCCACCTTGGCACCAGGTCCTGCTGCTCCAGGGTCACCTACCCCTGATGTTCCCCTGCAGCAGCAACTCCCAGGGGCAAGAGCATCCTTTGGGCAGCGCAGAATGGGAATTTTAGGGGTTAAAGCTCCATGGCTGACTCCCACCTCCAGCCCCTCATTAGTCTGAGCTGTCTGCAGAGCCCCAGCAGATTGTCCACGAGCCAAAGTGCTGGGATGAATCGCAGCAATTTGCAGTTACATCATCTACTGATGAATCCAATATTCCATCTTCATTAGGGAGCTCCTGCTCTGCTTTGGCAGCCAGAGGAACTGACTGCTGGAGCAGCAGCTCCAGGGAGGGCACAGCGAGCTCCTCACCCTGCTGGTGCAGCAGATTTGGGTTCAGAGATGGGGTTTTACCTTCCTTTCACAGCTCTGGTCTCTGGGGATTTGCCATCCCAGAGTTTTCCCTGGTCCCTGCCGAGGCGGGGTGCTGCCTGCTGGAGCTGGTGGCTGCTGGCCCCACGGAGCAGCCCCAGCTCAGGGACTGCAGGAGGGGTGTCCCTGGGGGGAGGTGGCAGGTGAGGTCCTGCTGGTGGCCAGGAGCTGCTCAGCTCTGGGCAGGAGTGTTTGGTGAGGAGCGAGGGGTCAGGGCTGGATGGGCAGCCTGGGCTCTGGAAGGTGTCCCTGCCGTGGCTTGGAAGGAGATGAGCTTTAAGGTCCCTCCCAACCCAAACCACTCGATGGTTCCATGAAATAAAACATCCACCTCCAGCTGCTGCCCTGGAGACACTCATGAAGTGGGAATTTCATGTCCTCGTGTGACAATGTGATGCACCCAGCTTGCTCCTAACACCAGGCACCCGAGGAGCCTGCCGGTGGCTTCTCCACTTGCTCCAAATTTTCCGAGGTTCCCTTGCTGTCCTGATGGTTTCCCTCTCCCTTCTGTCGGGCACGGTGCCCAGCAGAGGCAGTGACAGTGGCTCTGTCCCCCTGCAGCCCGAGGACAAGCAGAGAGCCTCGGTGGCCTTCTCCCAGCTCCGGGCTGCCATGGGCACGCTGGGCATCAGCGCAGAGGAGCAGGCGGCCGTGTGGCGCATCCTGGCTGGAATTTACCACCTGGGAGCTGCTGGAGCCTGCAAAGGTGAGGGCAATCCTGCCTCTGCTTCCCTCACACCTCGTGTCTGTGCTTGGAGCGTGTCCTGGCAGGGATCAGCGCCCGGGGGTGTGCAAGGATGATGCTCATCCCAAGGCTGCTCCGTTTGTGGTGGCTCCAAGTCCTTCCTTGCTCTTCCTGCGTGGTGGGAGGTGGGATGCTGGTGTCTTCCCTGCTTCTGGAGCAGCTCTGTCCTTGCCACACGTGGACAGGGCAGGGGCTGCTGGGTGTTGTGGTGTTTTCAGGGTTCCCAGATGAAGGGGGGAAATGATGAATCTGACTCCGTGTTCTTAGAAGGCTAATTTATTATATTATGTTATTATATTGTGTTAAAGAGTGCTAAACTAAAACTATACTAAAGAACAGAGAAAGGATACAGACAGAAGGCTAAAGGATAATGAATCTCGTGACTCTCTCCAGAGTCTGACACAGCCTGACTGTGTCTGGTCATTAAGTTAAAACAATTCACATGTTGGGTAAACAATCTCCAACCACATTCCAAAGCAGCAAAACACGGGACAAGCAAATGAGATGATATTGTTTTCCTTTTTCTCTGAGGCTTCTCAGCTTCCCAGGAGAAGAATCCTGGGCAAAGAGCATTTTTCAGAAAATATGACGGTGACAGGGTGTCAACTCATGCCAGCTCCTTGGGAAAGACTGGGGTGGGTGACTCCTTTGTTGTCACGTTGTCCCCAATGACACCATGAGGGGACAGCTTCAGGTAGCACTAATTTCATTATCTCTTGAGTGTCTACCACAGTAACTGAATTATAATAGGCTGAGTCTGGATGAAGATTGTATTTATAGAGACTTTGTTAATACGGACGGGCAGAAATTGCCTTATCCCTCACAAATTATTTTAGGACGTGCTCTAACCCATTTTAGAGGCAGCCACATTGATTTACACCCTTCAATTTATGAGGGCTGCATAAAGGCTGCCATAAACTAAGGCACAGACATTTACAAATGTCTCTGCAACATGTCATAACACATCTTATGGTAATTTATGCCATTAATCATTTATTAATTATTTTAAAAGGATAGACGCTGTCATGACTTACAGTGAGTTCTCTTTTCTCCTTCTTTCTGTTGTTCTCTTTCCTCATCTCCATCTACCTTAATGCCCTTCCAGCTTTTATAGATGACCCTGTGCTCTCAGGCTGATGAGTGTCAGAAGGCTCTTGGCAAAAAAATTTGAAATTCTTTGAACCCTGTGAGTTTTCAGGAGAGCAGGTTTTGGAGACGTGTCTCATTTTGGGAGTGCCCAGCTCAGTGGCAGGTGGAGGGATGGTCACAGGGAGCTTTGCTTTGCTCAGACTTCCTGCACATCATGTCCTCAGCCCTGTGTAAATCAGTCTGGGAGGGAATGGAGTGCTGTACCCAACAGATGCTGCTCCGTTCTCTGAGCAGGAGCAGCAATGGGAGTAGCGGATCCGGGCAGGGCTGCAGCTCTGAGCACTCTCTGGTGTGGGATTAACAAGCAGATCATGTCTCAGTGTCGCTCACTCTGGTATCGATTCCCCCACCGTGTGTCAACAAAAGGGGAGAAATGAAAGGAAATATGGATAAAAAATGGATCAAAGCCGGGTGGAGCAAAAGTCTCAGTGGGGGCGACGGCTCTTTTAATGTGGTTAAACCTGTCTCCCGATAGCCATCTCTTCCCTTTCCCTTTCATGCCCTTTGATGTTGTGTATTCCAAATCCTCTCCTTGAAATCTCGCCGAAGGGAGCCTCGGCACTGCTTTTCCAGGGCATTCAGGAGCTCAGCCAGGCACCTCCTCCATCCCCATCCCCAGCCGCGGCCCTGGCACGTGTTAAACTGGCCCCAGTGTGGGATAAAGACACCTTTTCCCCTTCTCTCCTCACCCGTTCAGTTTGTGCAGGAATAAACCAGGAGGGAACAGCACCACCTCTCCCTGGCTGGGGGTGGAAAATGCATTTGCAGCTACAAAAACGCTGAGAAGAAAAGGCTGAATTTCAAAAGCTCCTTCTGCTCTATCCCAGCGTCAGCCCTTCCCGCTGCCTTTGAAACGTATTAGAGCAGCTCTTTTATTAGGAAAGCAGCCTGGCAGCTGGAGGCCAGCAGGGCACCCCGGGCACCATTCACCTGAGTGCTCCAGTCCCTTTGTGGGCTGCAGAAAATCCCCTGGTTTAATTTATTTGCTGTCTCTGTAAGCAGGAGGGAGGTTTGGGGCGCAGCGGGGGCGGCGCTCAGCTCACTCTCACGCTGTCCTTTTGCTGCCTGATATCTGAATATCAGAATATCAGGATATCAGAAAAAAGCCTTGTGGCTTCCAGCTCCCTGTGGGCTTCCCAGCACGCACCTGTAATGGAGGTGGCTGCCATTCCAGCCCTCCTGGTGCTGCCACAGGTGTGTCAGGAGTCACTCCAAACCCCCTGGCACAGCGGGGCTGCTGCAAATCCAGCCTCCAGAAGGCCTCGGGATGGAGGAAACCCACAGGGCAGGAGGGCTGGAACCTGCTGCTCAGGTGGGGGACACTGAGCTGCCCCAAACCCTGCAGAGGTCAGGGGGACCAGGGCAGCAGGAGGGACAGGAGCACCCAGACAGCCAGGGGGGAATTTTGGGGTCAGTGAGACCACCAGCAGTAGCCCAGGGTGAGTGCTTGAGCTGCTGTGGCCCAGGGGGCCCTGCACAGCCCCACCCCTGTGGCATCATACCTTGGGAACCCAGGAAATTGGGCATTGAGCAGTTTGGAAATGGGCTGGGGCTGTGGCAAGAGAGGCTGAGCTGTCCCCGTGAGTGCTGAGCCTGTGTTTTCCTTCTGCTTCCCTTAAATATTACCTGGGGCAAAGTAATTCCCTTCAGGTGTTAAAGTCAGCGAGTTTTCCATGGCCACAACACACTCAGGAGAGCCATGTGGAGCTGCTGGTCATAATTCATGGAGGCTAAAATGGTGCCTGGGGATGCCAAGGCTGAGTGGACCCTCTTGTTTGTCCCAGGGATGCTGGAATGGGCAGTGTGGGGTGCTGGAATGGGCAGTTTTGGGTGCAGGAGTGGGCAGTGTGGGGTGCTGGAGCAGTGTGGGATGCTGGAATGGGCAGTTTTGGGTGCAGGAGTGGGCAGTTTTGGGTGCTGGAGCAGTGTGGGATGCTGGAATGGGCAGTGTGGGATGCTGGAATGGGCAGTGTGGGGTGCTGGAGCAGTGTGGAATGCTGGAATTGCAGTGTGGGAGCAGTGTGGGATGCTGGAATGGGCAGTTTTGGGTGCAGGAGTGGGCAGTGGGGGATGCCAGCCAGGTCTGTGCAGCCCCCCAGCCCTTCCAGCTCCCCGTCAGGCAGAGCTTTTGTGTCTGACAGGAATCAGCATCCGTCCAGCCAGCTCAGACAAGAACAAGTGGAAACAGAATAAATCAAAGCCTGGAGTGTGGAGGCAATTCCCCTGCCTGCTCCAGCACAGCCCTTGATGTTGGAGTCCTTCAGTCAGCACAGAAAATACTGGGGAAGGATCAAAGGGGAAGGGAGAAGGGGGTTGGCTCATGGGTGTGCTGTGAAGCACCCCCAGCCCTCGAGCCCTGCTTTGTGCATCCCCTCAGCCAGGAGTGGGTCCCCCATGGAGCTCCCCAGCATGTGGCCACCTCTCACTCTCCATCCCATGCCCTCCCCCTGGACCAGCTGTGTTTTAAGGCCCCCTGAACTCCTTATCCAGCACCCAAAAGTGCCACCCTGAGGTCTCTGGGTCATTTTGGCTGCTCCTATTTTTGCTCATCCCCCTGTGTTTCTGAGCTGCGCTGCCCAGTTTCCTCCACTGCACCTTTCTGCTCTGGATTTATAAAAGGATTAATCCTGCAGATTACTTCCCTATTGATTTAAATCATTAAGCTGGAATCATTATCACCGGCTGTGAGTGATGTCTGCTCGAGGGCAGGAACTGCTGCTCCCGGCTCTAGGGACAGCAAACACTGCTGGGACCCTGAAAGGTGATCCCGGATTTCGAGGGATTGGTTCCTAATCCCATCAGCTCCCACCCGCACATCTGCTGCTTTGCTCTGCCGAAACTCTGATGCCCTGTGGTTCGCCCGCTCCCCGACTCGCCTTCGGACCATGTTGATTTTGGGGGCGCACGGGGGGGGGCGTTTTGGCGATGCTGAGGCAGGGCTGGCCCTGGCTGAGCCCCCCGTGCCCCTCCGCAGTTGGCAGGAAGCAGTTCCTGAGGTTCGAGAGCGCCAGCCGCGCTGCCGAGGTGCTGGGCTGCGACGTGGAGGAGCTCGGCACCGCCGTCTTCAAGCACCACCTGAGGCACATCCTGGCGCAGGTGACAGCGCGGGGCCGGCCCCAGGCAGAGGAGAGCCCGCCAGGTACCGGCATGCCCCATCCCCTCCATTTGTTTGCGGAATTAGGAGTTTGCGATGAAAAATTGCAAAGCGGGTGTTTTATTCCAGCTGGGATGCGTGGGGAGTATTTCCACCCAAGGCATGGGGATGTTTCCACCAGACATGGGGGTGTTCTCACCAAAGATATGGGGGTATTCCCACCAAGACATGGGGATATTTCCACCAAAGACATAGGGGATATTTCCACCCAAGGCATGGAGAGTAATTCTACCAGACATGGGGGTATTTCCACCAAAGACACGGGGATATTTCCACCAAAGACATGGGGGTAATTACACCAAAGACACAGGGATATTTCCATCCAAGGCATGGAGAGTAATTCTACCAGACATGGGGGTATTTCCACCAAAGACATGGGGATATTTCCACCCAAGACATGGGGATATTTCCACCAAAAACATGGGGATATTTCCACCCATGGCATGGGGTATTTCCACCAAAGACATGGGGATATTTCCACTCAAGACATCGGGGTATTTCCACCCAAGACATGGGGACATTTCCACCCAAGACCTGGGGATATTTCCATCCAAGGCATGGAGAGTAATTCTACCAGACATGGGGGTATTTCCACGAAAGATATGGGGGATATTTCCACCCAAGGCATGGGGATATTTCCACCCACGGCATGGGGATATTTCCACCCATGGCATGGGGTATTTCCACCAAAAACATGGGGATATTTCCACTCAAGACATCGGGGTATTTCCACCCAAGACATGGGGACATTTCCACCCAAGACCTGGGGATATTACCAAAGACCTGGGCGTATTTCCACCAAAGACATGCGTGTCTGGTGAGACAGGTTTCAGGTTTAAACACACATTGAACCCCCAAGCCCACATCTCCCTGCCTGCCCATTCCCTGCCCAGTCTTTGGTGGTGCCACACCTCCTGGTGGTCCTGGGTGGGCGTTTTTGATGAAGTAACATCATCTTCCTCAATGAAATAACATCATCTTCATCGATGTTCGCCTCTTGACTTTTTCTGCTGAGCAGGTGCAGTGGAGGTTTGGCTTTCTCTCAGGTCAAACCAGGAGCCTGGTTCTTGCTGGCTCCTTCAGTGAAAGGTTCTGCTTTATGGGTTTCAGCAGTAGCTGAGTCTTGCTTTACAGGGTTATCTTTACCTAGTGACTAAATTCTTATGTCTTCTGTTACAGGTTGTCTCTACCTAGCAAGTTACATTCCTGTTACAAACTGTGTTCTGTAATCTGCATATTTGTTAAACAAGCTATATATTATTATATATTTCTCTCCCTCTCTCTCTCTCTATATATAATATAATATTATATATATATAACATATAACATATATTATATATTATATAATATATATTTTATGTATATATATATATATATATATATCTGTTTTCCTCCACCTCCCTAAGTACATGATATGCTTCCAAAAGTCTGAATTTTCATATACATATATGTTTCCCGTATCACCTTTCCCCTTTATTTCTGGGGGAGGGGGAATGGTGAGGCAAATTAATACAATACATATATATACACACTATACATATAGTACATACATAGTATATATATATATATACACACTATATATACTATACTATAGTATATATATGATATATAGTATATAGTGTATATATATACTATATATATACACACTATAAATAGTATATATATACTATATATTTACTATATATATACTATACTAAAGATACATACCAAAGAAAATCTCATGACTGTCTCCAGTTAGGTACAGCTTTGACTCAACTGGCTAAGGAAACAAAACAACTTTCACTGGTGTTTAATTAATTAAATTATTTTAGGTAAACAATTTTCTTAACACATTTTACATGTGTAAAAAATAATAGGAGTAGAGAATAGAGATAAGAATTGGGGTTTTTTTTTCTTCTCTCTGTGCTTCTCCGGAAAAAAAATCTTTGGGGAGTTGTGTCTGCTGCTCTCTGTGACGAGAGCTGTGGTTACAGCGCTGGCACTCAGGATTCTGTGTCCTGCGCTGTGTGGCACTGCGAGGGCACGGCTGGCACCACTCTGCTGCCTGTGGGTAAATCCTGGCGATCTGTGTGTGGCTCTTCCCAGGTCCTTCTCCTCCCAGCACCTCTCCATGGCCTCCATCGCCGTGGTGGACAGCCCTGGCTTCCAGAGCCCGCGGCAGCAGCGGAGCGAGCGAGCGGCCACCTTCGAGGAGCTCTGCCACAACTACGTCCAGGAGAGGCTGCAGGGGCTCTTCTATGAAAAAACCTTCCTGTGGGAGATGGAGAGGTACAGAGAGGTGAGGAGCAGGGCTTGGGAGCAGCTCCCAGCAGCTGGGAGTGCCTTTGTGCCCAGGGGTCCCCGTGTCCCGCTCTGGTGTGAGTGAATAACTCAGGGGCGTTACTGGGAGGGCTGGGGGAGCTCTGCAAGGAGCAGAAACTTCTCTCTCTCCACCCTCTGCCTCAGTTCTGCATCCTCTTGGCTATTTCTGATGTGCCAGAGCTGCTCTCTTGGCATCTTTGTGGAAGCTGCCGTGGCAGGGGGGGCTGGAATGAGATGATTTTTCCCAACCCAAACCATTTTGAAATTCTATTATACGCTTGCTCCAGCTCAGGAGACTTTGTGTCTTCTCTTGGCACAGCTGACTTTTCCCTCAGGTGATGAATAATAGAGAATAGAAAGGAAAATGATAAATTATTGCAGAAATAAGCTGTTGAGAAACCTGCAGGCAGAGATGAACTTATTATAGGCTTGAAGGAGTTACCATAATGCCTCTAGCCCTGGGAAAAGAGCAGAATTCCTATGGTTTAACACAGACATCATCGAGTAAGGAGAGATGTGCCCTTCCCTAGTGATGAAGACTTCCAAATGCCATCCCACGACTGAAACAAGCTTTTAAATGATGTTTTCCAGGAAAATGTTGAGGTGTCTTTCGATCTTCCAGAGCGCTCTCCCCTGGCCACGCTGTCCATCATCGACCTGAGCTGCTCCCAGGTACCCTGTCCCCTCTGCACGCTGCTGCTCCAAGCAGTGAGGGCTCCAGAGGCAGAGTGGGATCCTGTGGAGCATCAGGGCAACCTGAAGTGTTGTAGGGAGAGGGAGGCACAGCATCCACCAGGACGATTTTTGGCTTTTTAAAATATAAACACCCACCCTGACCAAGCTCTGCATTCCAGCCTGGGGTGAGGGCTCCCCTGGGACAGTCACTGCTGTGATGGGTGATGTCCAGAGCTGGATCAGGTAGGGAGGGTCTGCTCTGGGCTAGGTGAATTATCGTGGTTTCTGCCACGATGGCTGTTGGGGTCCACTCCGGCTAGCTATGGACCCTTACCCAACATGATAATTCATAGACAAAAGCAAAAAACTGAGAAGTGCTCTTCTCCACGTGGGAAATGTTCTCCTTTATTCCAAGAGACACACCAAGTGGACAAGCCCATGGGAGAAAGAGGGCGTTCCCTGGTGGCAGGGGACTTTCATACCCCAGGGAGTGGGGACAGAAGAAGAGGCCACAGCCAATGGGATACAGTGAGGGGAGGCAAGGGGAGGGTCTCTTCACCCAGGCAGAGACCACCAGGGGGTACTGGGGTGGGTGAGGGAAAGGCCATGTGATGGGGAAAGGGATAACAAACCACGTGATACAACATAAGCTATTCAGTGCAATACAAAAACCACTCTGTGCAAATTCCCAATGCACCCAGTGCAAAAGAACAGCTAAATAACTATTTAGTGCAACACAACATCTGGGGGCACAGCTGGACAGTGGGAGCAGGGTGTGGGGAGCAGAGTGGGCTGTGGCTGGAGCCCAGAGTGTCCCTTGGCAGCCTCAGGTGCTCCCGGGCAGCCCCGGGGCCGCTCGCCGGGGGCTGCTGTGGATCCTGGACGAGGAGGTGCTGGTGCCAGGCTCCGGGGATGGCACTGCCTTCGAGCGCCTCTGCTCCTACTTCGCCACCAAGGGACCCGACCAGGAGGGTGAGTTAGGCTCGGCTTGGCTGCCCAGCCTCTGGCATCACCGTTTGGCTTTGGGATTATGGGAGATGTGGATGAGTAAACCCCTCACTCTGTTTTTCTCTGGGCTGGTCCTGGGGTGCTGTGACCATCAGGTGAGGGGCACCTGCGCAGGTGTGAGCAGACGCTGCACTTTGAGATCTGCCACCAGCTGGGCACGGCCCCCGTGCGCTACGACCTCACGGGCTGGGTCAGCAAGGCCAAGTTCAACCTCTCGGCCCAGAATGCCATCCAGGTGCTGCAGAACTCCACGGTGTAAGTGCCAGGAGGTGCCACAGTGCCCGTGGGAGGGGGTTGGGGATGCCCCTGCCCTGGGCTGCCAACCTGCCCCAGCTCTGGAGACAGAGGGTGGAGTGGGGCACAGGGGGGAATGGTTTCCCACTGCAGAGAGTGGTGTTAGGTGGGATACTGGGGAGAATTTCCTGGCTGTGAGGGTGGTAAAGCCCTGTTCCAACTCTGAAAGTGTCCAAGGCCAGGGTGGGCAGGGCTTGGAGCAAGTTGGGCTGGTGGAAGTTGTCCCTGCCTGTGGAGGTGCAGCACAAGTCAGAGCTGTGAGGCTTCACCAGCAGCTGCCCAGGCTTTCCCTCTGCTTTGAGCAGCCTTGCAAACGAAATTGGAACTGAAAGGGAACTGAAGTGCTGCAGGTGTCTGTGCACACAGGGGGATTTTAACCTTCTGCTAGCATGCTCCTGGCTCAGTTCGTTTGGGCTCCAACCCGGGGAAGCTTTAACAGCAGAGAACAGCTCCATGCTCCCACCAGAGCGAATGGACAGGGTGGGGGTGTCCCGGCACCCCTTCCCACTCCTCAGAGCAGCACCAGGTTGGGATGTGGGGTGTGGCAGAGGCCGGGATGGCAGCGGGCGGTGTGTGTCCCGCAGAGCCGCGGTCCGGCAGCTGGTGCAGCCGCGGGCGAGCGCTCCGCCGGGCTGCTGTGCCCTGGCCGGGCTGGACGGGCGCTCCCAGGCCGCCCTGCACCGCAACGCCTGCCTGAGGAAAACCTTCGCCAGCGCCTTCGCCGCCGTGAGGAAGAGGTCGGTGTGCGCCCAGATCAAGCTGCAGGCGGTGAGTGCCGGCGCTGGGACACGGTGGCTGTGGGTGGGGGGTTGTGGCACAGAGCGCGGTGACACCACGGGGGGATCTTGCCTTGGGCAAGGCTCCTTACCGGGGTGCCCCCACCCCAGCAGTGAGTGAGCTCCTGCCCGTCCCCATCGGGGATGTGGCCACCGGGGTGCTGCGCTAGACACAAGATCACACACAGATCACACATGGATCTCACACAGATCTCACACAGATCACACACAGATCACACAGACCACACAGATCACACACACAGATCTCAAACAGATCTCAGATCACACACAGTTTACACACAGATCTCACACAGATCTCACACAGATTACACACAGTTTACACACAGATCTCAAACAGATCTCACACAGATTACACGAGCACCTCGCTGCTTTAATCCTCTTAAGTGCTCAGACAGTACCCAGCCCTCGGCGCTGGGCACGTGCCAGGCTCCTGCTGCTCTCATACCTAATTAAGTGCCCAAACTCTCTCAGGAGATGAGGCTCAGGCTCTGCTGAGTCCCTGATCAGCCTGTTTTGTGGTCCTGCCTGTCCGTGGCAAACCCCCTCCCCAGCATCCCTCAAACACAATGATTTTTAATCCTTCCAATGCAAATAATTCCATGATTCTACAAACCGTGGTACATTTTCTGGCCATCACCTGAACACGTGGCACATCAGGAGGAAGGGTCCTGCTCACCACTCAAGTTCACCCTCTGACTGATGCTGTTCCCAACTCGGAGCTGACTCCTCCACCTGCCCAGACACCCTGCAGGTGCACAGGGAGCATTTCCCACTGCCAGCACGTGGTCACCCTTTGTCCCCTCCATCCCCACTGACCTCTGCCACTCTCCAGGATGCCCTCACCAACCTTCTCCGGCGGTCCCAGCTGCACTTTGTCCACTGCCTCCTCCCAGGGATGGGCCAGGAAGGGCCGGTCCCTCGGCCCCCAGCGCCACCAGACTCAGCCCCACAGCTCGATGTGGTGGCCCTGAGGACACAGCTGGAGGGGAGCCAGCTCCTGGATGCCCTGCGCCTCCACCGTGTCGGTACGTCCAGACCCTGCCCCTGCAGCTCCCTGGCTCAGCCCTTCCAGCCTTTGCTCATCACCTGCTTCTCACCAGCAGGCGAGGAATCCCCCTTCCTTCAGAAATTCCCCATTTGAAAGTTCTCCTCCTTTTTTATTCCTGCTTTTTTTGCAGGGGTTCTGAGCCCCTCTCCTGCCTGAGCTCTGTTGGCTGCAGCTCCTCAGTGGAGCTCTCCTTGGAGCATCAGGCTGCACCTGCACTGACCCCAACCACGGCCCATGCCATGGGGACAGGGAGCTGTGCAGGAGGCCCAGGGGCATGTCCTGGGTGACACGAGGTGCTGGGGTGGCATCTGTCCCTCTCAAACTCACCTCGGTGCCCTCTCCCTGCCCTCACTGCAGGGCTTTCTCTCTCGTGGCAGCTCCCCATGTCCCCTCCAGCCCCGCTGCCCTTTGCTGTCACAGGATGTCCCAGCAGGTCCCTCCCCAGCCTGCCAGTGCCAGTGGCAGTGCCCTGGGTGTGGTGCAGCCCCCAACAGCCCCGTGTGCCCCCAGGCTATTCGGATCGGCTGCTCCTCACCCAGTTCCGCAGGCGCTTCCAGCTGCTGGCTCCGGAGGTGATGAAGAAGCACAACTCTGCCTACGAGGTGCCAGATGAGAGCAAGGTGTGTGCTGGGCTGGGGGGGCACGGGCTGGCACCCCCAGTGGGGCTGTGATGATGCCAGAACTGAGGTGGGCATTGCTGTGGCACAGTCCCTCTCCCTGGCTCCCCAAAAATCTGGGACTGAGGACAAGCCAGGCAGCAGTCCCAGGGACCCAAGAGAGCAGGGACTGTGGAATCTTCTGGGCACTGAGCATCACCTGCAGCCTGGGGTGACTGACTCCTCACCTCACCCTGTCATGCTGAAAGCCAAAAGAGCTCAGGAGGGAATCTGGACACCTGCCAGTTTTATTTGTTTCCGAGTAAATTTGTAGCAAAACCAGCACGAAGCCATGCCTGGAATAAGGCTATGGATGAGCCACCAAGAGCTGAGAGGAGCTGAATTAAAGCCGGGCACGTGCTGTGTTGTGCAAACTGCAGCCAGCATGTGCAAAGGCAGTTAAGACCTCGGGATTTAATAAGACAAGTCTGACAATTGGGAAAGGTCAATATTGCTATGAAATGCTGTCGGAGGTAGAGGGTGCCTTGTCAGCAGCGTGTAAGCAGGGGATTTGGAAAATCCCATCCTCCCTGGAGCTTGCTGCCACGAGGGTTTGTCAGCTGGGAAATGCTTCCTGGGACATGGCATGAACCTGGCTGCTGGAGCAGGAGAGAGGCTCAGCTGTGAGGAGACAGGGCAGCGAGAGCTGGCCCCGTGCTTGTGCTGGGGTGGGACTGTCCTGCACAGCCCTGCACCAGTCCTGCTCCCAGCAGTGCCACCAGAACAGGCACAGCCACAGCACTGGTGCTTCCTCCCCCTGGCACGGTGTGTCAGGCTCTGTGATCCATATCTCACTCCCTGGTGTGCTCCATCCCCTCCTTGCACGGCTGCTGGTGAGGCCAGGGGTGCAATCCTGCTGCTCCTGGGTGGAATATTCCTTCTGTGGGTTTGTCCTTCAGGGAGCAGGTGAGATGATGTTGTGTGGAATGAGGTTTTAGCAGAGGATTTTTGTTACAATTTCTGTAGTCCTGGGGCTTTCAAACCATCCATCCAGCCAGACAGCGTGGCTGCCCCGGGGGAGTGGTTGATGTTGCTGCTGTTATATTCATGTTCTGGTCCAAAGCTTGGAGTAATTGAGTTCAGGCTTCTCCTTGGGATAATCTCCTGCTTGAATCCTCCAGGAGTTCTGTGCTCTGGGCTCAGGGGAGAACTCAGCCCTTCCCCTGATTTTGGCTCCATGGGATGAGCTGTTGGTGAGGGGGGCAGGAGGGGAGCACTGAGTGCAGCTGGATGGAGCACTGTACCCTGTGTCACCTCCTGCCCATGCCCCAAGGCTCTGCCAGACCAGGCATGGCAGCAAAAGGAGGAAAATCTTCCCAGCAGCTGCAGATCTCTGCTCCCCATCCTGCTGAAAGCCTCGGGGGAGGGAAGTCCTTGCACTGGGCCTTGGGACTGGGCTTTGGCAAGGGGAGGAGGAAAAGAGGTCAGAGCTGGATGAACCCTCACTGGGTGCCCATGAGGACTGGGGGTCCCTGCACCCCATTTCAGCAGCTGACAGCAGGGTGTGGGTGTTTCCTCAGCAGTCCCATGTTGTGTTCCTTCTCCGTAGGCAATCGAGGAGCTGTTCCAGGTGCTGGATCTGGAGAAGAAGAGCGTTGCCATTGGACGCACCCAGGTACCATGACTGTGCCCTGCTTCCCCATTGCTCTGGTGTGTGTGGGCACAGCCCCATGCCAGGCTCCCCAGCAGCCCAAAGCTCCCCAAACTGGGGACAAAGGCTCTCCTCCACTGCTGCAGGTGGCACCAGGTGGGCTGGGAAACTGAGACTCTAAATACCAGAGCAAAAGCCTCATAATCCTCATCTGAAAGCAGTACCCAGGGTCAATCCTGTACCTAATTACCAAAATCCAGCCAGTCCCTGCTGGTATTTAAGTTCCTAATTACCATTGATGTCTCCTGGGAGTGAAGGGGGCTTGGGCAGCTCGTGGGTTTGCTGCAGAGCAGGAACTGTCACAGCAACCACATTTGAACTTCAATGTGATGGTCTGAAAGAAAAATTAATTTCACGTGCGTGCTTGCCTTCAGCTCTGGAGTTTGTAAAGAAAGAAGTCACAGAATGGTTCTGTGGAGCAAAATGACTTTCTTTTATCCTGCACTGTGCAGTTTGTAATTATCTCCTCTCTGGAACCCTCGTTCTTAATCAATAGCACGGTGGCAGCCCCGGTCACATTTCGTTAGGGACGAGTTCGCTTTGCCGTCGCTTTGAGCATTGATTTTGTACCAGCTGTGAAAGTTGCAGGGCTGGGGAGTTAATTCAGACATTAATGAGGCAATCGAATGGGTGGTGGAGCAATCATGGCATCAGCTCGGGAGAGCCACTTTCCTTGGTCTTGTGCTTTGATTCAATTTGGCACGGTTAAAATGCAGCTCTCTCAGCACTGCCCTGGCCTCACCTGTGTCACTCAGGGGTTATTAAACCTGGGCCATGAAAATGGTTGGGGGTCCCTGATCCTGGATTCCAAGAGTTTCTCCCAGCAGTGACCCAGAGACACTTCAGACACTCAGAGATCGATACCGGCCTGGGTCTGATGGCATCAGCAAATCTGTGTCATTTCTGAGGTGTTTCTGACCAGTTCAGAGAAAGAAAACAATCTGGTTTATTTTGGGTTTGCTATGGTAACACATCACTGCTGTTACCTGTGTGCATTTGTGTCTCACTGTCAGAATCCACTGTCAGTGGAGGTGTCCGTCCATCCATCCATCCCATCCATCCATCCATCCATGCATCCATCCATCATCCATCCCATCCATCCATCCATCCATCCATGCATGCATCCATCCATCCTATCCATCCTATCCATCCATCCATCCATCCATCCCCACAGTGAGGGGAACAGGCAGCATCCCACAGGAAAAGTTTTGAGGAATTGTACCTTGTGATGGTCGATGCCTCTGTCAAGGAGGAGGGAGAGTTTCCAGCCCTGACCTGGGGTGTGTAACCCGTTCCTTGCTGCCAGGTGTTCCTGAAGCCAGGGGTGATCTCCAGGCTGGAGAAGCAGCGGGACAAGCTGATAGCCCAGAAGATGACTCTGCTCCAGGCTGCCTGCAAGGGCTTCCTCAGCCGCCAAAAGTTCAAGAGATTGAAGGTACCCATCCCATGGGCTGGGGACACCTGAGCCCACCCAGGTCAGCGCTGCTGGACAGTACCCAAATAACAGCTCTTTAGAGCTTCTTTGGAGCTTTCCCCTGCAGCCATGAGATGCTGTGCTGCCATCCCTGAGCTCCTCTGCCACCTTTCCCTCTCCAGCCTGGTGTCCCAGCCCGGTCCTTCCTGGCAGTCCTGGCTGGGTGAGGGTCATGGCTGCTGTGTCCCCACAGATCCAGCGCCTGGCCGTCCGCTGCATCCAGAAGAACCTGCAGGTGTTCCAGGCAGTCAGGCACTGGCCCTGGTGGCAGCTGCTGAGCCACGTGCGGCCCCTGCTCAGCGTTAACCTCGCCGAGGAGCAGCTCCGTGCTAAGGAAGTGAGTGCCAAGGGCTGGGATGGAATGGGTGGGACAGGACAGGGTTCTTTAGGGGCTCTGCCTGGTGGATTGCTCGAGTTGGAAGTCACTTCTGCCCAGGCAAAGATGTTTTTCCTACCATCCAGAAGTTGGCATCTGTTCTTAGCCCAGTGTCACATGTTCTGCAGAGCTGTGGAGGGAGAAGTGACTTCTTAGAGGGACAGTAGCAAACACACCATGTTATGGTTGTGTTCGAGGCTCCCAGGACGAGGGAAGAAATGAGAGTCTTGACTCTGTGTTTCAGAAGGCTAGTTTATTATATTATAATATTATATTACATTAAAATGCTATACTAAAACTATACTAAAAAGAATAGAGAGAAAAGATCCATCAGAAGGCTGGAAAGGAATAGCAAGGAAGGAATGATAACAAAAGCTTGTGAATCTCAGCGAGTCTGACACAGCTGGATCTTTGATTGGTCATTAAGTAGAAACAACTCACGTGGACCAATCACAGATGCACCTGTTAGTAAACAATGTCCAGACCACATTCCACAGCCATCAGATAGTTAATTGTTTACATTTCTTTTCTGAGGCTTCTCAGCTAGAATAGGAGAAAAATCCTAGCAAAGGATTTTCATAAAAATATCATGGTGACACCATGTCCCCGCAGTCAGACTCCACCCCAGGGTTCCCTCACTGCCCTCCTCATGCCCTCTACAAGCTCCAGGGGCTGTGTCCCCTGAGCCAAACCCTGGGGATGGGCTTGTCAGCCTGTGGGGAGATGAGCATTCAAACACCCCTGTGACAGAGGGGACTCCACTCTGTTCTGTCCCCAGTGCTGTGCTGGCATCCACCTGTGTTGCCCTGGGTGATAGGAGATGCTAATGGACATGTTTTTTTTGTCCCAGGAAAGGCTTCATTCAGCCCTCTGCACCCTCTGAGACCTGTGCTAAATTCCTACCTTTCCTGGAGTCCTGCTCCTCCTCTTGCCTTAGCGAGGTTTTAACAAGATGTTTTCAGGCTGGCTCAGATGAGATAAAAGCTGCCCAAGCCTCTGTTTTTGTCTCCAAACCCACCTGGGATCCATCAGGCCCCATCATCTGTTAACCTCTGTTTTTATCACCACTCTGCACGTTCTGCTCCTGCTCAGTGTTGGACATCAAAGCAGGACAAGGCTGCGTGGAGCAGCTCCTGCTGCCTGGGAAGGAATCACAGCCAACACCGTGCCTTTGCACCGTGCTCTGATACCTGCCAGGGCCCTGAGACACTCCCTGGGCATGATCCAGGCCCCTGGCTGTTCATGCCAGGCTTTTGAGGTTTGCTGCTCTCTCATAAAACATGCTCTACACACACCAAAGCTGACATTGCCTCTGATGGAATTCATGTCAGGAGCTGTAGTCCCGGAAATTTGCAGTGAGCAGCCTTCAAAGTTGCCTGGTAAATTTTATTAATAAGGCAGCTATGTCTCTTCCATTTATTTTGAACAGAAAACAAGGTTTTCATAAATACACCGAGGATGCTGGAACTCTCTGTGTGTGTTTTTTTCCAATCTTCCCTAGGAGGAGCTGGCGGCGCTGAGAAGGAAGCTGGAAAAATCCGAGCAGGCGTGCAGCGAGCTCAGACAGACTACAGAGAGTCTGGAGAGCAAGGTACAGCCCCAGAACCTCTGGTGCAGACCCCAAAACATCTGATACAGACCCCAAAACCTCTGCCACAGCCCTGTTTGGCCAGGTTGGGAAGGGAGCTGATGGGGATGAACAGGAGCAGCAGTTCCAGCAGAGCAGGAGGAGCCATGAGCAGGGGCAGCTGCCAGGGATGGTCCCCTGGACAGGATTCTGGACAGGCTGCAGTGTTCATCTGCAGAATTCCAGGCTGGCATCACTCCAGGCTGCCCAGAGAAACTGTGGCTGCCCCATCCCTGAAAGTATCCAAGGCCAGGTTGGATGGGGCTGGGAGCAACCTGGGCTAGTGGAAGGTGTTCCTGCCCATGGGGTGGAACTGGATGAGCTTTAAGGTCCTTTCCAGCCCAAACCACTCTGGGATTCTGTGTTCCCAGCTGGCTGCTGGTCCTCTGTGGGTTCTGCTCTCAGATGCACAGCTCCTTGTGATTGTGCCTGGGATTTTGCCAAGCATCATGAGGAGAAGGATCTCCCAAGGTTTCTATAAATACCCTGGGTTTTCCCAGCTCTCTTGGCTGCAGCAGGGCTGAGCTGGGTCTAGGCTGCAGCTCTGCCTGATGGAGCCAACAGCTCTCAAGGCCAGGACCCTCCTCATCCCTGGGAAGGGGATAAAGATGGTTTAGTTTAAGCTCTTTGGGAATGCTGAGCAAGGCAACTGCCTCAGGGCAGACCTAGGAAAACACCAGGGAGAGAAATCCTGTGGGATTTGCTTACTGGGTTAAGCTTGTGGGATTCCCTAAGGAGCTGGTGCCTGCACAATGCTGTCAGACACAGGAAAGGAGTGTTGGAATGCTGTGTTTTCCTATGGCTCTGCAGCCCCTGGACTGGCTGAGCAGGAAGGACCATGTGCCCGTCTGCTCTGCGGAAAATGGAATTGATTTTCTGGATTAATAATTCTCCCCTTCTGCTCCTGGTTTCAAAGGAAATGTAATGCAATAAAGTAGGACAATGGAGAGCTGTGATGAGCCCTGCAGTGCAGGCAGCGTGGCACAGGCAGCTGCCACACAGGAGCCTGGGCTCCCACTGGTGACACTGGCCAGGGCTGGTGTGCACTCCTGAGAGCAGGCAGAGCTGTCAGGGTGGCTGTGGCACGGCAGAACCCCCCCCCCAGCCGTGCCCAGACTGACCCCCTGCTCCCCCAGATCATCGACCTGACCACGGAGCTGTCGGATGAGCGCTACAAGGGCGATGTCACCTGCCAGGCCCTGGATGGGGAGCGGGCGGAGCGGCTGCGGGGCACCCGTGAGCTGCAGGAGCTACAGGTACAGAGCCCTGAGCCCTGTGCGGTGACAGTGGCCCTGCCATCCCCCTGACACAGCCCTCCTGAGTGCCCCAGAGCTGGGTGAAGCTGCTCCCTTCCTCCCTTCCCCAGAGCAAACACGACCAAGTGCAGAAGAAGCTGGAGTCGGTGGAGAAGCAGCTGGAAGAGGCCCAGCAGCTGGTGCAGCTGCGTGAGATGAAGATCAGCGGCTCTGGAGGAGGTAGGGATGTCCCTCTGGAGGCAATGCATGCTCTGGGCATCAAGCCTGAGCTGTGGGGCTGCAGAGAAGAGGGCAGAGGTTTGTCCTCCCCACTCAGTGCCACTCTGCAGCCCCTGGCCACTCCGGAGCGTTCTGTCACTCCGTGTTGCTCATCCAGAGGGAGCTGGCAGGGACAGCTCGGTGACACAGCTCTGGATCTGGGGCTGGGGATGGGGCTGGTGGTGCTGTGCCCCAGGGAGCTGCTGGCACTGCTGGGACGGGATGGGATGGGGTGGGATGGGCACACATGCTGTGACTGAGGCAGGGCACATGTTCTGTGTGAGCAGGGCAGCCCTGGGCACAGAAAGCACAGCCATGTCCCATAAGCTCTATGCTGGTGCCGGTGCCTTGTGCATCCTCTCCCCTGCCCCCAGCAGGGCCACAGGGGCTGGTCAGGCCCCAGCACCCACCCTGCACCCCTGGGTGTCTCTCCTTGGCAGAGGATGAGTGGCAGGTGAGGTTTGACTGTGCCCAGACCGAGATCATTTTCCTGCGGAAGCGGCTGGCACAGCTGGAGGAGCGGCTGGAGGCAGAGCTGGGCACCAGGACAGGGCTCGAGCAAAAGGCAAGTGCTGCCAGCCCAGGAGGGGACAGGGGCACCCACGGCAGCAGGGCTATCCTAGGGATATTCCTCCCTCTGCTCCCAGGAGCTTTGCAGAGCTGAGGCTCAGCATGGCATCTTCTTCTTGTTGCTGCTCTCACTGACCAGGGAAAACCAGGTATTTTCTACTGGTCTGAGCCTCAGAAATCACTTTTGCATAGCAAAATTCCACCTTGGTCAAGTGTGAGCATGGGCAGAGGGTGAGGAGCTGTGGGCAGGTTTTCAGTGGTGGGTCTAGCTTTAGGAGCTGTACAGGGCTGTGCTGTCCCCATCTGTCACACAAAGAGCTGGCAGCTCCCGAGCTTTGCCCCGAGGAGGGAAAAGGCCAATGTGCTTCCCTGAGCAGTGCCTGGGAGCCAGGTCACTTCCCATAAGGATAAAACAAAGAAATAAAGATTTCTCATGGTACATTAAATAGTAATAAGAGAGAAGCTGAGTCTTAGGAGCTTGGGTAAAGCAAAGCAGCCCATTTGCTCTCAGTTAGTGTGGAATTACAGGCTTCATTAATGCAAGATTTTGCTTATTTAAAGCCATTCCTTAACGACTCCATTCCCTGGCGTGGGAGAGCTCTGCGTGTCTGTCCCAAACACAACAGGAATCCTTGGGGATTCCACTCCAGACACAAGGAGAAATGGGATCAGGCATTGACCCGGGGCAGCTCTGCTGACTCAGCAGGAGGGGCTGGGCTGCTGCAGGCACCGGGGGGTGCCTGGAGCTGGAGGGGACACAGCACCTCCGGCTGTCCTTGTTTAGTGAAAAATCTCTGGGTGAACCAACCCTGGGGAATAAAGTGAGGCTGAGTCCTGGTGGGGCTTTTATCAGGGGGGTGTGAGGTCAGTGGGGTTCCTCTATGGGGTGTGTGGGGTCAGTGAGGTTCCTCTGTGGGGTGTGTGGGGTCAGTGGGGTTCCTCTGTGGGGTGTGTAGGGTCAGTGAGGTTCCTCTGTGGGGTGTGTGGGGTCAGTGGGGTTCCTCTGTGGGGTGTGTGGGGTCAGTGGAGTTCTTCTGTGGGGTCTGTGGGGTCAGTGGGATTCCTCTGTGGGCTGTGTGCGGTCAGTGAGGTTCCTCTGTGGGGTGTGTGGGGTCAGTGGGGTTCCTCTGTGGGGTGTGTGGGGTCAGTGAGGTTCCTCTGTGGGGTGTGTGGGGTCAGTGGAGTTCCTCTGTGGGGTGTGTGGGGTCCAAGGGTCCTTCCTCTGAACTGAGTGTGCCATGGAGTCTATGGGGTCCCTCCTCTGTGGGGTCCATGTGCCTGTCCTCTGTGGGGTGTGTGGGGTCCAGGGGCCCTTCCTCTGTGGGATGTGTGTGCCGTGGGCTCCCTCCTCTGTGAATTGAGTGTGCCATGGACTCTGTGGGGTCCCTTCTCTGTGGGGTGTGTGGGGTCAGTGGGGCTCCTCTTCTGTGGGGTGTGTGGGGTCCAGGGGCCCTTCCTCTGTGGGATGTGTGTGCCGTGGGCTCCCTCCTCTGTGAATTGAGTGTGCCATGGACTCTGTGGGTTCCCTCCTTTGTGGGATACCTGTGCTGTGGGGTCTGTGGTGTCTACGAGTTCCCTCCTCCACGGGGTGCACGTCTCCGTTTTCTGTGGGGTCCACGGGGCCCGTGTGTCCCTCCCTGGCTGCCACAGCCCCTGTGCCCTCCGCAGCTGGGCGAGGCGCGGGCAGCGTGCCAGGCGGCGCGGGACGGGGCGCAGCGGCTGCGGCGGCGCTGCCAGCGCCTGGCCTGCGAGCTGGAGGACGCCCGGCTGCTGGCTGAGAACCAGCAGAGCCGCAGCCACGAGCTGGAGAAGAGGCAGAAGAAGTAAGGCTGGTGTGGAGCACGGGGAGGGCTGGGGGGTGCTGGAGCAGGAGCCAGGGAATGGGGAGGTTTGGGGTGGGTGAGGAGCTGCTGTGAGGGTGGAGCTGTTTTTGTTTTAGCTGCTGGGAGTTATTTTTCCATCCCATTGCTCTGTGACTGACACAGGGTCTGAGCCCAGACTGGTTTGGGTTGGAAGGGACCTTAAAGCTCATCCAGCTCCATCCCTTGCCATGGGAGGGGAATATTCTCCTTCCACTATCCCAGAGTGCTCCAAGCCCTGTCCAGCCTGAGCTGGCTGTGCTGCCCTCCAGGTTTGACTTGCAGTTAGCCCAGGCCCTGGGGCAATCTGCCTTCGAGAAGAGCCTCCGTGAAAAGCTGTCCCAGGAGAACACCAGCATCCGCTGGGAGATGGGCAAACTGCAGCAGAGCCTGGAGGTAGGAGGAGACCCCACTTTGCTGTGTTGGACCCAGTTTTGGGAGCAGCACTCATTATCCTTGCAATCAGAGCAGAGGCAATCAGGAAACTTGATTTCAATTTCTCTTAGCACAGCTCAGTGTGTTTAAATCTCCTTCCAGAAGGGGTGTTGCTAGGTATGAGTGATCCCCACCCCATGATTCAGCTAATCAGGGCCACCCCCATTTTCACTGGGGTCACTTGTGCTCTTCCTCACATGCCTACCCCCAATCCCATCTTGGGGAAGGTGCTGTCTGTGCCCCGTGGGATGGTGCTGCACCAAATGCCACCATGGTGGCAGGGGCACTGCTGCTGGGGTGGGGGGAACCCCAAAGGCTGCTGCCAGCACCCCCAGGCAGCTGGGGCTGCAGGGAACCCACGGGGGACACCCCAGGGCAGTGGGAAGGTGAGGTCAGGATCAAGAGGGAAAGGTGGGCATGGGGCTCTGGGTGTGGGGTCCCTGCTGCTGCTCCAGGAGGTTGGCACGATGCCTTTGGGAATGCTGTGGGTTCTGAGAGCAGGGTGTGAGTGTCCAGGCTCTGAGCCCGCTCTGCCCAGCACAAAGAGGCCGAGGTGGCCAGGCTGGAGCAGCAGGTGGCCGTGCTGGCCGGCCGAGTGCAGGAGCTCAGCATCCCCGGGGCCACGGACACGGTGCCCACGCTCAAGAAGAAGCTCTGGGACCTGGAGGGCAGCGCTGCTGAGCAGAAGAAGGAGCTGGAGCGGCAAACAGCTGCTGTGGATCACCTGGAGCAGGTAACGTGGGGCTGGGGGGACCAGGGGTGTCTGTCCCTGCTGGGACAGCCCAACACCATCCTCATCCCCTCGGGGTGTGCATCACCTCTGGGTGTTTCAGCTCCACGAGAGGCTGGAGCTGGAGATCGAGAGGATGAAGCAGATCCACCAGAAGGAGCTGGAGGACAAGGACGAGGAGCTGGAGGACATGCAGAAGTCCTGCCAGAAGAGGGTAGGTTTGATGCTGGGTGCTCCCCAAAGCTCCCCATGTCCCCAGGAGCTCTTCCAGGTTCCTGCTTTCCCACCATCACCCCAGCATGAGCCTCGGTCACAGCCTTGGGGTGCAGATCAGGCTTTGGGTCAGGGGTGAGCCCCTGCCACGCTGGAGGAGCTGTTGAGGACAGTGTGTGAGAGCCACACGTGATGCAGCACATGGACCCACTGCTCCCAGTAACACCAATGTCAGCTCCAGGGTGTCATGTTTGGGGCTGATTTGCAGAAAACAGCCTTTCCTCAAGGCCATGAGGTTGGTGGGTGCAAACACGAATTCCAAAGCTGCAGGGGCATGTCTGGCTGTGCTTCAAACAGCCCATCCTGTCCCCAATGTCCTGCAGGTCCCTGGCACTGGCACTGCCAGGGGTAGGAGGTACTCCAGGGGACGTGGCCCATTCCTGGTCCCCAGTGCTGGCTGCAGAGGTGCACTCCCTCTCCTGGGGAATGCCAAACTCCCGCTGTGGCAGTAGCTCTGCCCTGCTGGCACCTTGAGGGGTGGCTGGGTGCTGAGCGTGGCTGGGTTTCTCCCACAGCTCCGGCAGCTGGAGATGCAGCTGGAGCAGGAGCACGAGCAGAAGCAGATGGTGCTGCATGAGAAGCAGGACCTGGAAGGGCTCATTGGCACCTTGTGTGAGCAGGTAAGGGGGCAGTGCCCTCCCAGGGGCTGCTTCGTGGGCCATGCCCTGCCCTAAAAGCAGGAGTGGGGATAAACAAGTGCAGCCAGAGCAGCAGCCTGGTGTTGGTGCACGTGCTGCTGCTCATGGTCCTCTGTCCCTCATCTGTCCCAGATGCCACCCAGCCGCAGCAGGCACTGGGATCTGGAGGTGTTGGGACTGCAGGGATCACACAGGGGCTGCACGGTCCCACTAAGGACCCACAGAGAGGAATTGTTCCTTTTTGTACAGGAGAATTATCCAGGCAGAGGAAGGTGTCTGCTTTTTCCTGGTGTTTCATGAGAGCCAAACTAGCCAGGTCTAGCACTGGACTGCATCCAGCTGCCTAGAAAAGCAGTTTATCCAATCCTGCTCATTGCAGAGGAATTATATCCCAAGCACATTTGGTGAACAAATCCTTTTGCTCTCTCTGATCAGTCTGTGGAAGCAACTGGAAAAAAGCACACCCAGTTCTGCTCCCGTTCAGCCAGCAGGTGAGGAGGGGCTGCACTCAGCCTCCTTGGGCATCCCTTGGCATCACCTGGAGGCCACCCCAGAGCTCTGGTGACTGAGAGAGGCCAGGGCTGAGGATGGCAGCAGCTCAGTGTCACTGTCAGGTGGTGCTGCAGCCCAGGACTGCCCAGAGGATCTGTCACATGTCCCCATGTCTCCTGCCCACGCTCACGCTGCCTTGTCCCAGTGCCACTCACCCTGGCACAGAAACCAAGCCCTGTGTCCTCTGGCTGTTGGCACAAGCTGCATTTCACCACTTCACCAGCCCTGGCAGTCCTGTGAGTTCATTAAACAGCATGAATCCGGGATCTTTGCAGCACCAGAACGGGGGGAATATTTCAAGCAGACACAAAATGGTCTGACGAGGCTTTTCCAACACAACCCTCCTGCTCCTGGCTTAGAAAATGTTTTGGGAACTGTCACAATAAACAATGCTGTATCAAAGCAGGGGATTATTACAACAGTCCAACACATCCTGCTTGTTCGTGGGAGGGGAGCTGAGATGGATGAGCAGGCAGCAGGAGCTGAGGGGGCTCAGGAGGAAAGGCTTCCTCTCCCTCCGCAGAGCCCCCAGGTGTTGCCCTGGCAGCCCCCAGCCCCCCGAGGGCAGTCCTGGTGTGAGGGAAGGGGAGATGGGGCCATGCAGCTGGGATTGCTGTGAGACACAACCACAGTTTGGCAGCAGCTATTGAATCAAATCCTGGCTTTGTCACTTAAAAATCCTGGGCTGCAGTGGTGGGAGGGGGCAGCTGTTTCCAGCCATGGCACCAAATTTATCCCCTGTGGTTGTGGACAGACCCTGAGCAAGAGGAAAATGATGTGAGCAGTGTCCAGGATCCAGCTGGAGGGATGGCAGGGGAACAGCAGTGGTGGTGCTGCAAACACCCTCTGGTTTGCAGAGGACAGTTCCTTAAAAAATAGAAAGAAAACAGCCAACCCAGAAAACTAATTAAGGAAATGGAGATGCCAATGATTTCTTGTTCCAGCAAATTCCAGACAGCTCTAAACCAGGCTACAAGGTCAAATCCACACAGTTGATTTTAGCCAGTGAACAGAAAAAGGAGAAGGAAGGGGTTTGAAAGGAGAGCCGTGGAAAACAACCTAAATGGAAAATGCTCTTATACCTCAGTTATGCTGAAATCGAGCACTGAAACCATGTCCCTGTTTATTTGGTGGCTAATTCCTTTATCCCTGTAACCATGGTTGCTCTCTCCCTCTCTCTGGGGGTTTTTTTAAGGTACTCCTTGTGGCTGTGTGGCCAGGCTGTCCCTCTGGCCACAGGGGTCACCACTGGGGGGGATGTGACCCGTGGAGAGCAGGGCTGGGCAAATATTTTCAGAGGAGCAGCTCTTTGGTGGGGAAAAAATACAGAACTGGCCGTGGCACTCAGTGCTTCGGTGTAGTTAACCAAAACATCCCTAAATCGAGTGGGGAACGCTTTGGGATGGGGCAGAAGGGCTCAGCCACCCCCTGTCCCCTGCCCAGATCGGCCACCGCGACTTCGACGTGGAGAAGCGGCTGCGGCGGGACCTGCGGAGGACCCGGGCGCTGCTGGCCGATGTTCAGCTGCTGCTGGCGGCCCCAGCCGAGCCCGGAGGCGGCGGCCAGGAGCTGGAGCACCTCCGCAAACAGGTACGGGAGGGACTGCGGGCAGCGGGGACCATTCCCAGCCGCCCCGGTTTGACTGAGCGCTGACACGCAGCGGGAGTCTCCTTGGAAAAGGAGCTCTTCCCTGTAATTAAGGCAGCGCTGGTGAAGTGCTTTTTTCCCTTTTTTTCCCTGTTAATTACCTTCTGTTTGGCGCGTTTCTGTGCGTCTCCTACGGCCGGGCTGGGGCGGCGTTGCCATAGGGATGCTGCGAGCGGCAGAGGGATGGGGGGGATTTGCCGTGGTCTGAGCTCAGCGGCGCTGGGTGACCTGGGGAGCGGTTCTGTGCCACCACACTGGGGACATCCCCGACCCCAAGGTGAGCTCTGAGTCCTGTGGGGTGCCCTGCTATGGGATAGGAACACCACGGGGCTCTCCATCCCCTTGTGGGCCGTGTATTCCCAAGCGCCACGCAGGGGCTCAGCTAAAGCTGCTGGCCCTCTGAAACCACGAGAAATTAATCTGTTCTGCACATTTCCCCTGGAAACGAACTAATCTGAAGGCACGAGCAACTCCAGCAACATCCGAATATAACTGGGAGGGTCGTTGTGCATAAATAACAGCTGTGAGCAGCAGCTGTTCCCACCTGTGCTGGGGGAGAAGGGGAAGGTGAGCTGGGCTTGATGGAGCTCGAGGTGTGTCCATGCCCTTACCTGGATGTCCAGAGCAGGAGATGGCCATGGCTGGGACAGACCACAGTGGGAATGGCCATTTTTTGCACTCTTGTGCTGTTAAATATTATTGACTGGGTGCTGTAGTGCTGTGCTTCATTAATCCCTCAGTGTTTCCCAAATCCCACTTTGGGGCTGGAGAGGTTGCACTGCCCCTGTTTTTTCCCAGTCCCTGGTGGGAGGGAAATGTGGCAGGGTCCTGCCCTCAGGTCCCTTCCATGTGCTGATCTGAGGGGCCTGCATGAATGCTGAGGTGTTTCCTCTGCCCATCCCGTGGCCATCCCATCATGTCCATCCCCATCCCTCTGGGGAATAATGCCCAGCTCACCTGGGGAGCAGAGCTGGGGAAGTAAATCTTTACTCCAGAGACTAAAGTCATGGAGAGAGCAGCTGAGGGATCTGGGGGGGCTCAGCCTGGGGAAAAGGAGGCTCAGGGGGGACCTTGTGGCTCTGCACAACTCCTGACAGGAGGGGACAGCCTGGGGAGGGTCAGGCTCTGCTCCCAGGGAACAGGGACGGGATGAGAGCAAACTGCATCAAACTGTGCCAGGGGCGGGTCAGGGTGGACAGCAGGAGGAATTTCATCGTGGAAAGGGTGGTCAGGGACTGGAAGGGGTTGCCCAGGGATGTTTGGAGTCCCAATCCCTGGAGGTGTCCAAGGAATTGCTGGACGTGGCGCTCAGTGCTCTGGGCTGGTGACAAGGTGGGGATCAGGCACAGGCTGGAGATGACTTTGGAAATCTCTCCCAACCTTTATGACTCTGGGATTCTGGGACTCTTGCTCCCTGCACACCCCAGTCCCCACAGCAAGGCAGGAGGTCACTCTCTGTCCCTGTGGTTCCATGGCTGTGCTCAGCTCCCTTGTGTTTGGAGAAGAGCAGACAGCCTGGATTTTGGGAATGCGGAGTTTTTGCTGTGCCACCAACACTGAGACTCTGCCTGTGTTTAAAATGCCACAAGATTATTCTGTCCTTTAAGCTGAAACAATTTCTAATGGCATTCATGACGACTTTCTCAAAAGCCAATGCATCCTACCAGCAGCCCACGGAGCTGCATGAGAAGAAAAACTTTGCTAAAATGTTACATTTCCGTTAATCAAAATCCATATGGCTGGAAGTGCAGCATTGTTTCTTAATAAGGCTGAGGCATCCATTTTATGCAGGTATTTAACAGATGGTGTTCACAGCAAACTAATGTTGTTCCACAGTTCATACATTATGCATTTTTGGGGGGAATTTCAATTTATTCTTCCCAAGTGGGAAAATTCCATTACACAAAGTGAATTGGAAGCTGATGTTTAATGAGGGGTCCTGGAGATGCTTTTCTGCCTGATGGAACTATCAGGGATTTGGTGGGAATTGTGGCACGGAAGAGGCCAGTCCATGATTGTGGATGCAGCTGTTTCTAGAGCAGCTGGACAGGTGGGAAAGGCCACAAAACCAGGAGCTGATCTGAGTGGCATCTTCAACTCATCCCAGCAAAGCACAGAGACTTTTTTTAGTCTCTGTGCTGGTGGAAGAAAGTTCTTCCTTTTCTAGTGAAAGGTCTCAATCTCCCCAAACAGTGGAGAAGCTCCAGTGATGGTATTCCATGATTTCCCCCCCTTTTTTTTTTTTTTTTTTTTTTTTTTTTTTTTGAGAGAAAGAGATAAAAAAGAAAGTAAAAAAATTAATTCTCAAACTCTTGCCATGGTGTGCAGCTTTTCCCGTTGCTCCCTGGAACTCCACAGGGAAACCAGGAGCAGGCACAGGAAATGAGCAGTGAGCAGAGGGGTTTATTTTTCATAGAGAAAAGAAAGAAACCCCAACGAGCAGGGGAAGGAACTGGATGTTCAGGTACAGCCTACGACAACTCCTCCGCCCAGGCAAGAGGGGGAGTTTTCGGGATGACGCTGCAGCTTCCAGATGTTTGCAGCCCATTGAAGATCGTTGTGATCTTAATGGCTGAGCTGTAAAACCCGAGAGCAAATTAGCGTTTATAAATGGGATCTTCCACGTGTATTTGCAAATGCAATTTACGCCACGTGAAAAGCCCATTTGCAAACCCCCGAATCATGAATTGCTCTAATCAGGAATTACATGTAATTCACATAATTTTGCAAATTAATGATCCCAGCTCCACCTCGCCGAAGGAGGATGTGCCATCGAGGCTGCTGGACTCGCCAGGACAGTCAGTGGTGTTGGGATCTGTGCTGGGAGGTGCCAAGGAGGCTTTGCTTGCCTTGTAAACCAGGAGCACGGGTTTAAAACGTGGAGATTCTGTGTTCTTCAGCAGGGAAAAATACTCTGTGCAAGTGGGAATAAACGTGGCACGGGGGCAGCACCATCAGCATGTGGTTTCTGCTCCTTTAATGATGATCCCCTGCAACTTTTCCCAGCTGGAAGAGAGTGAAGCCAAGTGTGCAGAGGCCCAGAGATGCCAGCAGACAGCAGCCCTGGAGCTGGAGAACCTGCACACGGAGCTGGAGACCCTCAGCAGAAGCAAGACCCTGGTGGGTTCCTGGAGCTGTCCCAGGGCAGGGCAGGTGGGAGGGCACAGCCCCACCTCGGGGGAGTTTGGCAGCAATCAGCAGCTGCTTCGCTAAATCAGCCACTACCAGAGTGGTTAATAAATCACCTCGCGGTGTTCATTACACGGGTGAGGATTTTTACAAAATATCCCAGCGTGTTTACTAAGTCTCCAAGGATATACCTCACTAAATCACCTGGACAGTTTGGAAACAACAGCCTCCGGGGGTGGGGTTTAATGGGTGGACAGAATTCCTGCAGGGGAGCAGCATCCCGTGGTCCTGCTCTGCCTCTCTGATGGGCTGGAGGCTGTTGGCAGCACATGCCAGAGGGGATTTGGTCGGTTCCCTGAGGGATCCATGAACCAGGTGCTGTGGATCCTCCTGCAGGTGGACGAGCAGCTGTTCCAGCTGCAGCACGAGAGAGCAGACCTGCTGAAGCGCATCGATGAGGACCAGGAAGACCTGAACGAGCTCATGGAAAAGCACAAGGCTCTGATTGCCCAGGTAGGAGCTGGGGCAGCGTCTCCAACCCTGGGAGGGCTCTCGGGAAGCCCTGCAGGGTCAGTGGTGGCCCCTGGGGCTGCACAGAGGGGTGAGGAGCCCAGGACAGAAGTGCTGTGATGAGGAAGGGAAGGCTCACAGCACCAGATCCTCTCCCCTGCAGTTTTTGACCTTCTTTCAAGAGGTATTTTGCCTTTGGTTTCAACACTTGGGGAATCCTACAGCTGCCCCTCTGGGTTGTTTTTTTATTCCTTCTTTCACCATTTTCTCATGCAGAGGTTAAAAAGTGCTGCCAGACGGCCTTGGGGCTTTCAGTGTCATATCCAAGCTATGTCAGGCTCTCCCAAAGGATTATCCTGGGAGCTGAGGGACCCCAAAACTCCCATGGGAGAGAGCAGGCTGGCCAGGCTGGCAATTCACAGTCTGCTGCCCCATACAGAGGTGGGAGGGATCCAGGAGCCTGTGTCTGGAACCAGGACAACCTGGTTTCTGTCCTGATCCACAAATACTTGTTTCAAAAATTAGGGAAGCTGCAGTGAGTTGGGAGAATGAAGCTCCATCAGGGCAGTCCAGGAGCAGCTCACTGTCCCAGGGGCAGGAGGTTCAGGCAGGAACCAGCCCTCTGCCCTGATCCCACTTGCTCCCACTCCAAGTTTTCTGTTTCTGCAGTCAGCCACAGACATCGCTCAGATCCGGGAGCTGCAGACACAGGTGGAGGATGTGAAGAAAGAAAAGCAGAGCCTGCAGGAGAAGGTAATTCCTGCAGGGGAAGGTAATTCCTGCCCAGCCTGTGGCACCCCTGCTGAGGAGTGGGACCTCTTTAGGCTGGAGAAATCTTTTCCTGGCAGAGTTTTTGGGATTCACAGCCTGGCTTTTCTTTCCTCCCTTGCTGAACTGCCCTGGCTGGGATGGGCACCAGCAGGGGCTGCACCCCATGGCCTCTGTGGCTGTGCCACCCCTCCTGGAGTGAGGGATTTAATTTTAAACACATGAGTAATCCCATTAAGTGAAGTGCTTTACTGGAGCGTGGCTAAGCTACCCAGGAATCAGAAGCAGGACTCGCTCCTCCGAGGCGGAGCGGGTGGTGCTTTGGAGATAGGCTGGATAAAAGGAGGCAGATTCCTGCAGTTTTAGGTCAAATTCAAAATCTGAACCCGGGATCACTAAAAGGGCAGTTTCCTTTGGAGATCTCGATGTAAGAACTGAGGAAACAGCTTGGCCCGGGCAGCTTTCCACAAAGGCTGTGAATTTTTACTCCTGCTGTCCTCAAAGAGTCTGTGAGGAGAGAAAAGCAAAGGAGCCCCAGACACGTGTCCCTGGCCAGCAAGTTCTCCATTCAGAGCCACACATCCGTGTCAGGCCTGCTCTGTGCGCCTTCAACAGCAGGGAATTCTCTAGGAAGGGAGGGCAGCGCTTGGACACGTCACGTCAGGGGCCAGGAGAGACCCCAGTGCATGTGAGGGACTGGGGAGGGGATCTGGAAAAAGGGGATCAGGAGAGGGGATCAGCATGTTAGCATTCAGGAACACATAATCACGGAATGATTAAATGCGGGTGCTTTTACTGAAGAGCCCTGGGTGTCAGGGGTACAGACCCCAATCTGACTCTGCCATGGGTTCGGGATGAACGTGTTTTTATATTCTATCGTTATGTAACTTACATATTAATTATTAAACCTACATTGTTCTATTGTATATATTGATTTCATCCAAGCATAGGTTTCTCGTGATCCCCCTTCAAACCCTTGAACATAGTTTCTCATGATTCTTCTTACGATTAAACAATAATTATATCTAAACAATCATCACATCTAACAATTATCTCATTTATCATATACTGGTCATGCAGGTGCAATTTCACATGATCTGGCAAACACAAGGCCTAACATTTCCCAGGGCCTACTTTTACCATTTCCCCAGGGCCTAAGCTTAGCCTAGCTTTCTTTCTAACTCCCCAAATTTTCTGCGGTTTTAAATCTTTTACTGTCAAGCAGAGGGGTTCAGCAGAGGGGTCCGGCAGAGGGGCTGGGGGATGCTGACACAGCCCCTGCTCTCCCAGCTGCAGGCAGCTCAGGCCAGGGCGGCCCAGCTGGAGCAGTGCCCGGCCGAGCGCTCCATCGTCAGCCGGCAGGAAGCTCGGATCCGGGACCTGGAGAGCCAGCTGGACTTCCAGGCCGTGCAGATGAAGCGCTTCGAGGTACCCCCTGCTCGCTTGCGCTGGTGCCAGGCAGGCCTGGCAGTGCCACCGCCTCACCCGCGGGGACAGGAGCGCCTGGGAAGGGCCGGGAGGGACAGCTGGCGGCTGGGGCTGGTTGGTGGCACTGCTGCTCCCTCTGCGTGGGAGTTTCTGACAGCCAGCAGTGGCTCGGTGCTCACGAGGAGCTTCCCAACAGCTCGGCTTCCCCTTCACCCCCCAGGTGCTGGTGCTGCGCCTGCGGGACAGCATCATCCAGATGGGAGAGGAGCTGGAGAAGGCGGCCGAGTCGGAGGCACGGGAGAGGGAGAACACCAGGTACTACCAGAGGAGGATGGAGGAGATGAAGGCTGACATGGACGAGCTGGTGCAGAGGGAGCTGGAGTCCAGCCGCCGGCGCATGGAGCTGGTGAGGGGCTGCTCCTGCCGGGGTTTGGGTGCTCCCATGGCCACAGGGGTTTGCTGCAGCTGGAGGTGACCCCTCGTAACCCCTGGGCTGGTCTGAGGCCTCCAGAAAAGTCATTTTTGTCTGGCCCTTTGTGTGCTCTGGGTCTGGGGATGGAGTTGTTCCTGGGCTGCTCCTCTGGGAGGGGCAGGGAATTGCTCTGCAGCTCTCTGCAGCCCTAAACCATTGAACCAAAGCTGTCCTTGAGGAGCCTCATGCTCCCTTTCTCCATGGCTGATCTGGTCACTCTGCTCCATGGTTTTTTTGTTGGGAAGGAGGTGGCTTTGCCTGCTCTCATAGAAATGCAGTTCACGTGTGGATGTGGCACTTGGGGACATGGTTTAGTGCTGGACTTGGCACTGCTGGGGTAACAGTTGGACTGGATGATCTTGGAGGTGTTTCCATCCTGGATGAATCTATGATTCCAAGTTAGGTCATTCCCTCCTCATGCTGGTTCTCCTCATGTCAGGCAGAACCAGGGTGGGTGGGGAATGCCCTGGCCCTGCAGCAGCCGCTGGGTGTGCCAGGGCTGGATGTGCCAGGCTCAGCCCAAGCACCAGATCCTCCTGGATCTCCTGGCTTTGCCAAACCCTGCTGTGGCTGCAGCTCAGACAGTGCCAACCACAGCTAAACCTGCTCTGAGTGAGCAGAGCCCCAGCTGGCTTTGGAGAGCAGCAAAAATAGATTCACCTTCACTTTCCAGCCCTTTCCAGAGTCTCTTTTCATGTTGTTTCTTCCAGTAATCCAAGGGAAAGCCTCGCTCCCGAGTGGTAATTGAAAGATATTGCAATTCTGCTGGCAGCAGGGCTGAATTAGGAGCAGTTATTTTATCAATAATCTTTTAGTTAGCAATCAAGGAGATTTCGGGGTTTATTCTGCCCCGAGGCTGCCAGCCTTCCCGAGGGGAATGGTGTGAATGATTCTCAATCCTGCACCAGGTCAGGCTTTGTCCTTGCTCTGCCTGGTCCAGCTGCCAGGGCAGCCTCCCCTGGGCGTGGAATGAAGTTGGATCTCAGCCTGTGATGCTCTGCAGAGCCATGAGATGGTGGAGTGAGAGGCTCTGCTGAGGTGCCACGGGCATTCCGGGCTCCCTGATCCCTGTGGCACTGTGGGTGCTGTGATATGGGGTGTTTGTTGCAGCTCTGCTGGAAGGGCAGTGTTTGGAATGTGGATTCTCTGGCTGTTGGGATGGGGGTGGGTTCTTCTTGCTGTATTTTTGGGGTTGTGCCTGTATTTTTAGCAGCTTTCTGAATGTTTCATGTGGGGATGAAACATTCAGCGATGGGTGAAGGAAGATACAGGAGCTTCTTGGCACTCTTGTGTTCTCCCAGACAGAGTGTGCAGAGAGGTCTGAAAGGGATTTTAGAGACACCTCCCTCAAATAAGACACAAACAGCTGAAAACCAGCTGAACTTTTAGGCAGGACTGAGGGCTCTGGGCTTATCCAGACACTCAGATATTTGGGGTCATCTGGCATGTGCAGGAGAAAGGATCAGGGGGGCTCCCCCAGGCACAGCTCCCCATCCCAGCTTTCCCATGGCGATTGCTCCATGGGAACTGGCTCCAGGGGCTGCTGTGGCATTCCTGGGAGCAGAGGCATCCCCCAGACTGTGTCCTCTGAAGAGCACTTGAATTAAACATGGGGCAGAGCTGTGATCAAGGAGCCCAGCCCAGCTTGTCGGGAGCCTGGTGGGGAGCATCAATAGTTAATAGAAAGCCACTTATGGCTCTGCTCCTGCTAAATCCCCCATCAATTATAAATCCAGCCTGAATTATTCACTTGACATTACTTAAGTCATGCTCTGCTCCTAACAATTTTTTTAAAAAACTTATTTAAATACACGCTGGTGAGGTTGTGGACTTACCACACACTGTTGAGGTTTAAAGGGGGGGTGTTGAAGGGACAAACTCCTGGCAGAGACTGGGTTAAAAATCCTGTCTTGTTTCAGAGCTGCTGCATGTATATGTATGTATATATATATATATATATATATATATATATATATAATATATACAATATACAGAATAGAAGATATTTTGTTCTCAGACTTCATATTTATCAGTGGAAAATCCCATGCTACCATCCCCAGCCAGGCTTAGGGTGTCTCCATTCCATCCCTCCTTCTTTTCCCACCCAGTTTAGGGCAGTTGGGAGGCAGCCTTGTGCCATTCAGCAGGGAATGCCCAGTGAGGAGCAGGGATGAGAGCTGGCTGCCAGGCAGATGGCTCTGCCTCATGAATTTTGTAAGAAGGATGAGTTTTGAACACTTTCCAAGCATGTTTGGTAATGATGGGGGTAGGACTTGGCCCTGCTGGACTCTCTTTGCTCTGGCTGCACATCCTGGGTTTCCTCCCTGGAGCTGGAGCTCCTCTTCCAATAAAATCTGGATCCCAGCCTGCAGCAGCTCCTCATTTCTCAGCTGCTGTGTTGGCTCCCAGAGCTTGACAGGCCAGCCCCAGCCCCCTGGTGTCCTCAGACCATGGTGAGGAGGGAGGGATGGATTTCCAGCTTGGGGAGCGTAAATCCAAGGCTGCTCCCTGTGTTCATTGTGTGTGCACAAACACTCGTGCTTGTCCCCTACGTGTGTCCCCTGGTGAGGCTGCAGTGCTGGGAATGATGGAACAGGGGCTGGGAATGATGGAACAGGGGCTGGGAAGGATGGAACAGGGGCTGGGAAGGGTGGAACAGGGTCTGGAAAGGATGGAACAGGGTCGGGAAAGGATGGAACAGGTTGGGAAGGATGGAACAGGGTTGGGAAGGGTGGAACAGGGGCTGGGAAGGGTGGAGAAGAGCTGGGAGCAGCAGGAATGTGGGACAGTGAGTGTCTGGGACGAGGCAGTGTCTGGGATTTCCCTCCTGAGGCTGCTCTTAGGGGAGGTTGGTGCTGGCTGAGTTGTCTGCACAGCTCGGATTTAATGGGGGAGCTCAAGCATCTGGATGAGGGCTCTGGGATGAAAACTCTGGAATGAGGGCAGGAGCTGCTCAGGTCTCTTCTCCTGGAGAGCCAGGAGCCTTCTTGGTGGAATGCCTAGGGAAAAACAGGGGCTGACCCTGCTGGGATGAAGCCCTGGCTGGCCTAGGAAAGTCCAGGGATTTTCTGGGTCCCCTCGTGTCCCTCTGTGCCCAGCACAGCTCCACTGAACCTTCCCCAAGCACACCAGGGGGGGCTGGTGGGTGCTATCCTGAAATCAGCTTTCTTTAATGAGGCTGTGAAACTCATCAGCACAATAATTAACTAATTTTACAGAAAGCTGAAGTACAGGTGTGAAGATATTCTTCACAGGTTGTTTTGTGAGACCCTCAGTGTAAATAGTGTAAATAACTTTTTTTTTCCTCTGGTTCTTTTGCTGATAGATCTTTGTGCCCCAGCCCCACTATGGCCACGTTGTGTAACACAACAGAGCTGGAACTCCAGGATTAGGAGTTTTTGCTCATTTGCAAACTATAACGGGGTTTTTTTTGGGTGATATTTTTTTGTGTGTACGTGGGTTTTTTTGTGTTTTTTTTTAATGATTTTTTGGTTTTTTTTGTGTGTGTTTTTAAAAAATTATTTTTGGTTTTTAATGGTTTTTGGTGGGCTTTTTGGTGTGATTTTTTTGTGGTTTTTTTTGAGGTTTTTGGTTTTTTTTGGTGATTTTTTTTGTGTATACGTGGTTTTTTTTGTGTTTTTTAATGATTTTTTGGGGTTTTTTGTGTGTGTTTTTAAAAAATTTTTTTTGGTTTTTAATGGTTTTTGGTGGGCTTTTTGGTGTGATTTTTTTGTGGTTTTTTTTGAGGTTTTTGGGGTTTTTATTGTTTTTTGGGGTGCATTTTTGTTTTGGTTTGCGGGTTTTTTTTTTTTTTTGGTTTTTTTTGTGTGTGTTTTTAAAAAATTATTTTTGGTTTTTAATGGTTTTTGGTGGGCTTTTTGGTGTGATTTTTTTGTGGTTTTTTTTGAGGTTTTTGGGGTTTTTATTGATTTTTGTTTTGGTTTGTGGGGTTTTTTTGTTTGGTTTTTTGTTTTTTGTTGCTGTTTTTTGGGGGTTTTTTTGGGTTTTTTCCGGTTTTTTTTGTTGTTGTTGTTGTTGGGGTTTTTTTTTTGTTTTGTTTTTTTTTTTTTTTTTTTTTTTCTGGGGGGTTTTTTTTTTTTTTTTTTTTTTTGGGGGGTTTTTTTTTTTTTTTTTTTTTTTTTTTGACACTTCCAGTGAACTTGAGCCGCGAAGTGGGAGCCGTTTGTGCCTCCAGCCGGGAACGCCGCGCTCCCACCCAGGCAAACGCTCCGCTCGCAGCAGGGTCCCAGCAAACCCTCTGATGTCCCCGCAGCTCCCGTCCCCATCCCCGCCTGCTCCTGGGGCTTCCCTGCTGCTCTTCCCTTTGCCTTTGAGGACGTGTAAGGACAATTATCATCAAAGGCAGCCGGTCCTTAGAGGTGACAGCGGCTGATGGAGGAGCCAGGAGTGAAAGCTCGGCTGCGTATTTGCTAATTAGGGCTGTTGTGATTCTTCTTTGCCATTAAAAGAGTAAATTCCTCAGGAATCCGTCAGCTGCTCGCTCGCCAATTACACGGTGCTCACTCCAGCCTTCAACCGAGCAAATTTTGTCGCTTCAAACTTTCCCAAAACCCCGCGAGTTAACGGCTTAATTAAAAATAATAATGATGGATGAATTCCGCAGGTGCGCGCTAAGTTGTTAGAAGAGAAGGGATCTAAGTTGGATTAATTAGATTACACTTGACTTGAGGTGGATGGGAGCGAGCAGAGGTGGTGTTGTCACAGCAGAAATAAACAGAAATACAAGGTGGTGACAAGGACGTGGTGCTGGCCTGGGAATCCTTTGGAGTCCCAAGGATCATTGCACTGCTGGTTTTGTTTATCTCCTTTTAACCTCTTTTCGGATAATTCTGAGACAAAATTAGTTGAGGGAAAAAAAAACCTCTTAAGGAAAAGAAGGTTTAGAAATCTCCTTCCATGAGGGATGTGCAGAATCTCTGCAGGAATCCAGCTGAGAGCAGCTCCCTGTGGGTTTGATGAGTGCCAGGCATCACTGAGTGAGCTCCTGTCCCCTTGCCTTGGGGACACCTTTAATCCAGGCTCCCTGTCAGCAGGGATCAACCTCAGCCTTCTGAAACCGTGGTTTCTGACCCACCAGCAGAGCCAGTCCTTTGCTCTGGGGCATCTATCCCCCAGTGTGAATGGGAGAATCTGGTGTGGAAATGTATTCAGAACCAGGCAGAATGTATATTTTATTTATTGATGATAAAATATACATCAGCCAGGGGTTCTGAGCTGGTCAGGCTGGTCCTGCTGTGCATGTCTGACTGGTTTGGTGGAAGCAGCCAGAGGTGCTGGTGCCAAAAGCAGCTTTAGCCCCTCAGGTCCATGGTGCAGATTGCCCAATAATATGAGTTTTCTCCTTTATTTCTCCCCATTTTCTGCTCAGAGGAAAGAGAAGCCAGCTCTGCCCAGTGTGAGGGTGTCAATTCTCAGACTAGGGACTGTGTGAAAAGAGAAAAGCTTCTTGGATTTACATTTAGATGGAAACAACATGTGTCAGAGGTGTCCAGCAGCTCCCTGAGTGCCAGGGGCCTGGTGCTGGGATGGGCCTTGTCAGTTTGTGTTCTGCAGGCAGTATTTTGCCATCTGAAACTGAATAATTTTGGCAAAATCATTCCTTTCCTTGAGACAGTTGTAGGGTGTGTCGAGAAAAACGTGAGGTGTCTCCGTGGCTGAGATTTGGGACAGCTGGGAGGGGGGGTTGAGCAGTGTCAGCTCTGTTTCCTGGCTCACATCCAAATCACCTCTCAGGTGGCCTGTGGGCAGGGGACCCCAGGGTCACCCCCAGTCCCCAGGGTCACCCCAGGTCCCCCTCCCAAGGCCACCAGTGTGGGTGCCACAAACTGTGGGTGCCAGGGATGTCCTGGGGGTGGCAGGGGGGGCCCAGCTCAGCAGGGATGATCCCTTTCCTCTCAGCATTCCTAGGGTCATGCAGAAGGTAGCAAGGTCAGGGGGGATCCCACGAGCCAGGGGGACCCCTCCAGCCCCCAGGACATTCCGTTTGCTGCTCCCACAGCCATCCCAGGGGATTTCTGTGTCTGTGGCCAGAGGAAGTGGGTTTGGGGTGCTGGTGGGGGGATACTGTTCCGTGCCTCCCTGCCCATCCCTGTTAACAGCAGCAGAACAGAGGACTGGAATTAAATGCAGCCTAAATAACTATATTTAATTTGTGCCATAGCCTGCAGATGAGTCAATAGAGGCTCTTATCAGCCTGTGGAAGGGCTCAGCTCTTTATCAGGCAGCAGTTCCACGCCCTGCTCCTGCAGTCCCAAACACTGAACCCAGGCACGTGGGCACCTGGAGCTTGGGGCTCTTTCCTCCTCTCAAGTGTTTCACTGTGAGCCCTCTTCTGAGCCCCTGAGGTCCTTGATGAAACACTTCCCTTGATGAAACAGCTTCTTTCCACCTTCTCCCCGGGCCAGGAGGGAAGTGGAGGGCTTGGAAACACCAAGTTTCAGGAAACTTCCCAGCAGCAGTGAGGCTTTCCCCAACGCCAGCGCGTTCCCAGGAGCCGCTGTGGCACCCAAACAGGGCTGTTTCTTTCCATGTTTTGATGAACTGAGATGCTCTTCCCCCGAGGCCCCTGTGCCTGGTGATTCCAGGCCTTCCATTATTTACTGTGACAGTGTGCCAGCTCCTGTGCCCTGGCCTGTCTCAAGTCATCCCTCACCTTGTCACCGCCGCCGTGGCGATTTCACAGCTGGCAGCTTCAATCACCGTGGATCTGCTGCTCCCTCCTCTCTGCCCTGTGATGGCCTGGGAGCAGCAGGAAGGGTTCCTTCCCAGCTGAAAGGATGTGGAATGTGATGAGCATGGGTGCAGGGCCTGGCTGGTGTCCTTGGTGTGCAGAGTGGGCGATGTTGGTCCATGGAGCTGTGGGGGTCGTGTTGGATTGTGAATCCTGAAATGGTTTGGGTTGCAGGGACCTCAAAGCTTATCCTGTCCTCCCCCTGCCATGGGCAGGGACACCTTCCACTAGCCCAGGTTGCTCCAAGCCCTGTCCAAGCTGGTCTGGGACATTTCCAGGGATGCAGGGGCAGCCACAGCTTCTCTGGGCAACCTCTGCCAGGGCCTCCCCACCCTCCCAGGGAAGAATTTCTTCCCAATATCCCATCTAATCCTGCCTCTGGTAGTGGGCAGTCATTCCCTGTGTCCTGTCACTCCATGCCCTTATCCAAAATTCCTCTCCAGTTCTCTTGGAGCCCCTTTAAGCACTGGAAGGTGCTGGAAGATGCAGTTTATGTTCACAGGCACCACAGGGCACGGTGCAGCTAACCAGCCCCCCCCAGGCAGCACTGGGGTGGGGGTGGGATGGTTTAGCAGCCACCCCCCTGGCAGCTCAGGTGCCATGGCAGGTGCAGAGCCTCACCTGGTGTCCCCCGTGCAGGAGCAGCAGCTGGCAGAGCTGGCAGAGGCGAGGCAGGGGCTGCAGGCTGACCTGGGCACCTCCATCCGCCGCATCGCAGACCTGCAGGTGGCCCTGGAGGGGCTGCGTGACAGCGACGACAGCGATGCTGACAGGTGAGGAAGGGGGGCGGGGGGAGCTGAGGGGAGCTGGGGGGCTCAGCTGCTCTGTGCTGGGGAAGGGGCAGCGCTGGGAAATGCCAGGGTGAGTTCATGTCCTCACCCTCACGTGTTTGCGCTGCTACGAGCAAAAAGCTTTGTGTTGATGGAAGGTTTCGTGGAAAGTGTCACCCTTGAAAATCATCCTGGGTGGCCCAGCTTGAAGTGAGCACAAAAGGTGGGAATAGCCCCATTTGGACAGCAGGTCCCTGGCAGCAGTTTGGTGGTGCCCCAGTGCTGGGTTCATTGAGTGAAAATCCTGCTTTGATCATCCCCAGGAGCTGGAGGAACTGGGTGATTGGGTACGGGGTTTTACCAGGAAAAAAATGAGGAAAGAATTCCAGTGCATTTTTCAGGTGTTATTTCTAAAGCCCTTCAATTTTCCCCTCTGCCACGCAGCTAAAGGGGCATCATGACAAATGGGGACAAAACAGAGGAATGAGTTTAAAAGGAAAAAAATAAAAGAAAAATAAAGCTGAGGTGTGCTTGTCACCACTTGCTCTTGCTCTGTGTGGTGATTAAACCAGGGAAGGGTGAGACAGAAGCTTAGACACTCACTGCTTCCCAAAAGAAGTGTGATTTCCAGTGCAGTTGATGCATCAGTGGAGGTGAGAAGTGCTTCCCGGCAGGAACGGCAGCGGCTGCGGGCAGGAGCAGCCCCAGGCATCACTCCCCGAGCACCACTCCCCGTTCTGCTCCCTCCTTTTGCCCCGGGGTCCCTTTTGCAGCCCGGCCTGAGCCGTGCAGGGAGCAGGGAGGGGTCTCCAGCCCCACTCCTGCGGCTGTTTTGGGAGTGTTCCCCAGTGTCTTGGTTTGAAAAGACAGGTGTTTGCTAAGGAAGGCAGGAGCCTCCCTTGAAATGGAAAATGTAAAATCCCCTCCCTCCGAATTATGATGACTTTGGAATTTAGGGGCTCTCAGACAAAGATATGGGAATAGGAATTACAGAAAACTGCTCCATGAACAGAAGATAACCACCCCACCTCTAACAGCTGGCAATAGAATACACATTACACAGCCCCAGCTACAGCTTGCAGCCCAAGACACCTGGCCCAGCCCCTGCCCTGGCCACACAGGCTGTGCTGCAGTTGGGCTGGGGAGTTTTGCACCTCGTGGTGGGTTTGGGGTGCCCAGGAGCCATGGCTGACCCTCTCCCCTGGTCCTTGCAGCGCGCGGACGGCGCGGGAGTCGCTGTGCTCCAGGAGAGACACGTGAGTGATGCCAGGAGATGGTGCTGCCAAAGGACAGAGCCTGGGCTTCTGCCACAGCCCAGGGAGCACCAGCTGCTGCACCCAGGGGTGATGAACCCTGCAGTGTCTGCTGCAGCTGCTCACACTGGCATCCAGATGTGCTGCTGTTGTGTGCCCCACGCCCATCGATCCACTCCCACCCCCTGCGAGCTCTGGCTCTTATCCCGAGGGATGCTTCCACTCCTCTGTGGCTTGGAAGGAAAACGGAGATCCTAAAGATTTCATCCCCTACACGTGGTCTGGGGGCTCCTGCTGGGTGGGCTGGGGCAGCTTAGGCTCTGGGGGAGCCCAGGGGTGCACAGGGCCCTGTGGGGTGCCCAGGGTGACAGCAGCTCTGTCGCTGCAGTTCCAGCCCTGGGGAAGTGTGTAGGGCTCTGTGGGTCCTTCCCAGGGTCTACAGGGCACTTGCAAAAGCTTGAGGAAATAACAAATGGTAGCAACAATGGTACAAGGGCCAGGCTGCCTGGAAAGGTTTCTTTTCCCTCTGCTGGGAACCAGCTGCTGTGGTGGAGGTGTGAAGGCCACCCACCCTGTGCCCTGTGCCACCATCGGGGCTCTGTGGGGTGCCTGGGGTCACACTGGCTCTGTCACTGCAGCTCCAGCCCCTGGCAGTGCAGAAGTTTCCTTCCCAGGGTCTACAGGGCACTTGCAAAAGCTTGAGGAAATAACAAATGGTAGCAACAATGGTACAAGGGCCAGGCTGCCTGGAAAGGTTTCTTTTCCCTCTGCTGGGAACCAGCTGCTGTGGTGGAGGTGTGAAGGCCACCCACCCTGTGCCCTGTGCCACCATCAGAGTGACCCATGACCCCTGCAGCCCACACCTGCAGAGCTGACAGGTCTCTCCTGTCCCCTCAGGGATGCCTGCTCCAGTGTTGGCTCCGTGCTCAGCCTGGAGCCTGCAGAGAGTGTCAAATCCTGGCCGAGCTCCTCCTCAGGCTGGACATCCCTGGCGAGTGCCAGCGTGGCCGGAAGCGTTTCAGCACTGTCCGTGGGCAGCCGCAGCACCCAGAGCCTCAGGTAAGGGACCCCCAGCCCATCCTGGGGGTGTTGGGGGGTGCTGAGGTGTTGGGGCTCCCTCTGGGCTCTCCTGGGATGTGCAGAACGGAGCTCAGAGGGACCTGTGGTGTTTAAGGTCAAAACATCAAATCAAGGCAGGCAGTCGCTGCCACGCCAGGATCAGTGAAACACCAGATGAAAGTCACTACATCAAAAACGTGCTTCAAGCAGGAAAATATCCCTTGATGTATTCTCTGGAGATAATTTAAAGAGGCAATGCAGCATATTTGAGGATTTGTGTGCCATATGCTCGCTGCTGAGGGAGAGAGATGCGTTTCTACTGTTCTAATATCAAATATGTTAATTTTTGGTGGTGATGCTGATGGGCTGGGAGAGAGATGGAGAGGGGCCCAAGCACCTGCACTGCCCAATGTTCCTGCTTTGCTCTGTGGGTGCCCAGGTGCCCATCCTGAATTGGTGCCTATCAGAGGGATCACCCAGTCCAGAGAAAAAAACCCATTTCTGTGTTATCACAGAGAAATTTGTGTTTCATGGGTGAAACAATCACATGGCTTGAATTTGGAAAAGTTCTGTAAATCAGGGTCTGGGGCTGCATTGTGGAGGGAGCTGTGAGGATGGAGGAGGGTGTCAGATCCCCTTGAAGGTTTGTGAGGACAGAGGTGAAGCACGGATGGAGCCCTGGGGCAGGGAGCAGAGTGGGCTCCGGAGAGCATCATCCCCCTGCAGGGAAGGTGGAAAAGGTGCCAAGCATCCAAACTCGGGATGGGCAGGGCTGAAACTCAGAGTGGGCAGCTCTGCCAGTGCTCCTGCTTGCAGCCCCTGTGATTCAGGGCCTCCCCACCCCACTGCTCTCCCAGGGATGGTGTCTCAGGACACACATCACTACTTTTCCAGTTTTTCTCCCCATAACCAGGGCAGGTGCCAGGCTGAGGCTGGGCACAGCTCCCTGCACGTGTAGATGCTCCAAGGTGACAGGGTTTGCCAGGGTTGTGGGGCATAGTTTCACTGCAGACATTAGTATTAATCTCCCTGCTCTGATTCTGGAGAGCTCCATCCCCACGGCCCCCACCTGCCTTGTACAGGAGAATCACTGTTATCAGAACTGATGTTCTGAAGAGCAGTTCCCCAGCAGGAAACACCCTGGGCGAGCTGGAGCAGTTTGGGGAGGTACAAGGCAGAGTTTAAGAGCAGTCAGGCAGGGCAGAGACCTGTGGGGAGGTCACAGAATCCTGGAATGGTTTGGCTTGGAAGGGACCCTAAACATCATCTCATTCCAACTCCCTGCCATGGGCAGGGACACCTCCCATAGAGCAGTGATGAGTGGGAGCCCTGAGAGCAGTGGGCTGAGCTCACTGACACCCTGCACAGTAAATAAAGCCCTTCCTAAGCACTGCTGAGGAGGCTTTGGTCCAAATGACCCAACTCTGATCATTAATGAATGACAGAAAAACAGGCATTGTGGCTAATATCTTATTTCTGAGCTGAAACGCCTTGGATTTATAGAAGATATGCAGGCTTTCAGGTTGGACATCAGGAGGAATTTCCTCATGGAAAGGGTGGTGAGGCCTTGGAAGGAGCTGCCCAGGGAGTTTTGGAGTCCCCATCCCTAAGGAAGGTGGCACTCAGTGCTCTGGGCTGGTGACACGGTGGGGATTGGTCACAGCTTGGACTCAGTGGTCCTGGATTCCTTTCCAACCTCACTGAGTCTGGGATTTTGGGGTTTGCTGGGCTGCCTGTGGCCCTTGTGAAAAGCAAATTGTCCTGAGCCCTGGCCACAGTGTGACCATCACCCTCTGTCCTGGGGCTTGTGAAGGGACAAATTGCAAATGCTGGTGTGGGAGCTGAGTTTGGCTGCAGCTCATCTAAGATGGAAATAGAGCGAGGAGGGATGAAATGCAAACAAACAGGAGACGAGACTGGAGGTAATAAAAATGAGATCAGGGAAACGAGTTCTTCCTTATTAAGATTCCTTTGTTTTACACAAGCTCCCAGTAATGAAAAATGAGTCCTGCTCGTGTTGGCTGCTCAGCAGCACATCTGGGGTGTTTGCTGAACAAACAGCTGCCAAGAGCCAGAGGAGAGCCAGGAGCTCTTATCACCCCTGTGCTTACAGGAGGGAGAGCTTTGATTAACGTTTCCTTTAATTCTCTGCTATTTGAATGCCTGTACAAAACGCTGGCCAGCAGAGCTAAGCCTCCATAAATATGACACAGTGCAGGGTTGGGATAAATATGATTTTTTTTTTTTTATTAAGAAGCCAATTTAAAAGTTTAAGTATTTATTGTGCCCCTTTCCAGGCAGGTCAGGGTTTTGCTGTGATGGGAGACTATCCAGAGGTGCAGTCAGGGAGTGGATCCACAGCCCAGGATCTGCCTCTCCATCCTGCATCCCACAGGACTGGGGCATCCACAGCCCTGGCATCACTCCAGGATCACCCTGACAGCAATTCCCCTCCCACCTTGGTTCACAAAACCAAGAGCCCTGGTCCCGAGGCTGCTGGGGATCCGACACATTTATTTTTAAGCACGATTGTGTCAGGAGCAAATCATTACGTGGGAAACTGGGAGCTCTTGTGTAGATGATAGTGTGACAAGAAAATCCTCTTCTGACAGAAATGAGGCCAATGTCTCTTCCCTCCCTGAAATGGAGCTGTCTTGGCTTTATTTATCATCTCCCAGGAAAAGCATCCCAGCCACACTTTCGGCCCTGGTCATGTGTTGCAAAGCATGTGTGGATTTTATTGTATAAATGGTTTCAACTGGTATAATTGTAATCATGCTAATTGCTATGTAATCTTCACTAATTATTGTTGTATGTCATTTGGTTTGGTGTGAATGGCAGATTGCAGAGCTCTGTTGGCTTCCAGGTGCCTCCCAGGCATCTTTTGCTGGGAAAATCATCTTCCCTGAGGAGGTTGGAGGAGCAGGGCTCTGCTCAGGGCTGGAGGGGCTCATGGTCCTGCCTCCTGTGGCATCACCCTCTTTTGGGGCTGCCTGTGACTTCCTGGGGTCATTCTGAGCCCTGGGAATTCGTGCTGGGAATCAGCCAGGGATTTATGGATGAGCAGAGGATGCTGCAGGATGGGGTGTGGCCCTCTGGCTCTTGTGTCCTGCCTTGTGAGGGGGATGAGGCTGAGGAAGGTGAGCCATGATTTTGGAGGGGATTTTGGTAGGCATAAGGGAACAGTTAAAGAAACAAATCATGGAATGGTCGGGGTGGGAAAGAACCTTCAAAATCATCCAGTCCCACCCCTGCTGTGGGCAAGGACACCTTCCACTGTCCCAAGCTGCTCCAAGTCCTGTCCAGCCTGGCCTTGGACACTTCCAGGGATCCAAGGGCAGCCACAGCTGCTCTGGGCACCCTGTGCCAGGGCCTCACCACCCTCACAGGGATGAATTCCTTCCCAATATCCCATCCAACCCTGCCCCTGGCAGTTTTATGGGTGCAGAAAATAGGAACTTTTGGGAGAGACAAGGATGGATGGGGCAGTCTTGGCCTTTGGCTGGAAACCAGGGCATGGAGAGTGTGAAGTCCCTGCTTGGATTCCGGGGCTGTGTCCCCTTGCCAGCCAAGGAAGCTGGAACAATCCCACCTTTGCAGCTTTCACTCCATTTCAGACTCTGAAGATTTTCAGAGAAGCAGCACCTGTCAGTCATGTTGAACAGGACAATAAATACAGCGTGTTCAGTCCTTGTTCACAGCCCATTAGTGGTTCTCACATCTCCACTCACTTTTATCTCAGCCTTAAAACCCAAATAAAAGCCCTGATGCCAGTGTTTAATTTATGAAAGCCATTCATGCAGCACACAGGTTACAATATTATTTGGAAACGTGCAGAATGAATGGAGCAATTTCTGTACAAAACCTCACCAAAGGATTACACCAGCCATTTAAGTAAGATGCAATTTAGGATCCTAAAATCCAGCATTATTGAAATGTCTCAAACTATTAATCAGCTGTGGTGCTTCCGCAGCGTCAGCACGGGACGGGCTCTGAAAGGTGCAGTGATTCAGGGAGATGAAGCCCCTGGTTAATTCCTTTTGTGTTGAATAATCAAGTGATTAAGGCTGGTTAAGTGAGCAGGGAAGGGCGGTGGGTACCAGTTCAGGGTGGCACCTCTGTGCCCTGGGCTGTGCCAGCGGGTGCCAGGAAGCTGGAGCTGCTCCACTGCCCCTTCCCTTCTGCAATCACGCATTTCCCAGCTCTGGAGTTTGTCTTCAGCCCATCTCGGCATGTAAATTATTTCACGGGTCAGCAGAGTCCGAGCGTCCCGGGATTATCCGCTCCCGCCCCATTCCCATGGCCACAGCGGCATTCCCGGGGCAGGAAGCTTCATTAGGAGTGCTGCTCCCTCCAGAGATGCGTTTGTTCTTTGGGTCCTGCTGCTTTGCTCTGCCCTGTTCCCTCTTTTTCCCTCCTCCTTTCTTTCCCAAATTCCCATCCCAGTAAGGCCAGACCTCGTTTCCTTCGGCTGAGCGGTGATGGGAATGGGGACACTGCCACAAAGCAAATGCAGGTGCTTGGAGGGGATCATAAAGTGTCCCATCGGGGGCTTAGTGACACCAGAGACCCCAAGCCCACTGGTGACTGCAGTCCCCCATCTCTGTGACAGGTGGATCCCATGTGGTTCCTGCACCAGCCCTTTTTTGGGATGTGGCTGTGTCTGGCCATCCCCCCTTGCTGTGCAGGAACACCAAATTCAGGGGTTGCAGGGCTCCTGCTTAAGCAGCAGCCTGGGTGAAACATGCCCAGCAATAACATTGAGATGTGTCAGGGGTGCGCTGTGAGCTGCTTTCATAAAATTTTAGTGAATAATCTTTGGCTTTGACAGAAATAAAATAAATCCTGCATATTGCTGTAATCTGTCAAGAAGAAGGATATTTGGAGGTAAGTGCTGGCTTGGCAGAGCTGAAGCTGGTCACACCACGTGCTCTACACCAGGAATTATCCAGACTGGCTGACCTGGGCTTATTTAAGATAAAATCCTTGGGCATTGCCCAACTGCTGGATGCAGCAGCCTGTTTATCCCGAGACTCCCATGGCAATGCCAGCTTTTCACTGCTCAGCCTCATCCTTACTGGATGACATCCCGGTCACTGGGAATCCCGCAGTCTAACCTAACACCAATTTCTGTTGCTCAGGGTGAGCAGAGACACCAAGGACCCCGCTCTGAGCCGGCCTCTCTCCTCCCGGAGCTCAGCCCGGCCCGGCGAGGCTGCGGATCCGGGGAGGACAGCGAGTCCGCTGCTGGGCTCCAGAAGACGGGAATATGGAAAACCTCAGGCAGAAGAAGAGCTGGAAAGCCCAAAGAAGCCCGTGGATAGGGCAAGAGACACATCCCCATCGGCGCTGCTCCGGGGGGGCTCCCCGCCTGCGGACGGGAGCTTCCCCGGCGCGGTGTCCCCGCCGGTGCCCAGCAGGAGGAGGCTCTCGGGGGTGTCGGTGGCCTCGGGGCCGGTGCCCAGCTCTGCCGCCCTCTCGGAGTACGTGGAGGAGCTGCGGCGGCAGCGGGGAGCGGAGCGGGAGCTGCCGGGGCTGGGGGCCGCCTCTCCCCTGCCCATTTACCGCACCACCGGCGCCGCGGCCCTGCGGCGCTCCAGGGCTGTCCCGGCGGCCGAGGAGCCCCCGGGGAGGCTGGAGGGGGATCAGGCAGGGGAAGGGGAGGCAGCAGGTGCCAGCCTCACCCGCTCCTCCAGCCTGCGGAGCATGGCCTCGGAGCCGGCCGAGCCCCCGCGTTCCCCGGCGCTGAAAAAGGCATCGAAATTCGGCTCCTACGACTCCCTCCTGCCGGCCCTCGACGGCTCCGGCCGCCGGCCGAGCTCCCCGGCTGCCGGGATGGAGGTGGCGCGGCTGAGCTCCTGGAGGAGCTGCCTGGAGCCGTCGCTGGAGGATGTGGAGCTGGGGAAGGAGCCGGAGGGATTTCTGAGCTCCCTGCCCGGCGATGGGCTGGGCGAGGGGAAGGGCAGCGACCCCTTCAGCTGGCGAATACCCACCCTCAACTACGAGAGGAGAACCAAGGTTGACTTCGATGATTTCCTGCCGGCCATCCGCAAGTCGCGCTCCGCCAGCAGCCTGGCCAGAGCCCGCAGGGACAGGAGGGACGGCCAGCGGCCCCTCACCGTGCGCTTCGAGGACGAGGCCATAGCCTCGGGCAATCTGGAGCCCTCCGAGACCAAGGGCACTGCCAAGTGCAGCCCGACCCCTCGGGAAGAGCCCGGGGACCTCTCTGACTGCTCCTCATCCTCGGGATCCCACCGCTCCTCCCGCAGCGCCGACAGCATCAAGCGGCGGCCGCAGCCCCCGAGGGGCGCCGGGGAGGGCTCCAGCGGCAGGGCCGGCAGCCAGGGCAGCGGGATGAGCCGCCGAGCCGAGGCCGAAGGCAGGGAGGACGATGTCAGCAGCATCATGAAGAAATACCTGGGCAAAGAATAAGGTAACTGTGCTGGCCGCTGGCGTGGGCTCAGAGCCGTGGGGGCACGTTTGGGGTGCTGGCCTGAGCCTCGGTGGCTGTGCTGATGATGGGGAGTGTGTGGGGACAGGATAGCTGGGACAGCAGGAGTTCCTATGCTCGTCCTGGTGTGTCAGAGCATCCCAGGGCTGCCTGGGTGTCCCTGGGGGTGTGTGGCACTGGGATTGGTCCCCCCTTGCCTTTGCACCTTCAGGATGCAAATGGGGACACTGCTGGTGCCAGGGACAGCCCCAGAGCCATCCACAGCACCAGCTCAGAACTCACTGGGGTGTCCAAAACCAGTATCCCTCAGCTCCCACCCCAGCACATGGTAGACTCAACCCCCAAGTGCTCCCTCCTCAGGGCCCAAGTTTCTTTTGGTGATTAGAAATCAGCTCAGGCTGGATGCTGGGGGTTCCCTCTGTGGAGGATGGGGCTCCCACCTGGCTCAGACATCCTTCCCCCAGTCCTCAACAGCCTCCAACACCCACTCGGATGCCATGTCTGGATTGCAAGTGACACTTGAAGAATTAGGATTTATTGCTGCAATCCAGGTTTGAAAGTGGAGTCCTTAATGAATGCGCCACTACTGTAATTAAGTGTTTAAAATAGATTAGAAAAACATTTTGTAAAACCATTGCCTTTAGAGTAACTTATTGGATGTCAAGCTGTGACCAAATTGACTAAGCCAACACACGAAGGGAGCGCGTGTTAATAAAACATTTCTTTCCAGGAAGCAAATTTGCATAATGCAACGTCCCGCTTTCTGCAGGATCTGTTTCCATCAAGCCCCAACCCGCAGTGATGATGAGCCACGTTGGGCACAGAGCTTCCCTGCTCCTGGCAGAACCACCTCACTTGAGCAGAGACTGCAAAAGGATCCACAGAAGTCATGGGATGGTTCTACAAACTTTTTTTGGTCCTGGACATACCGTGGTTTCCTCATGCTCCTGCCCCGTTTCCCAGCGCCGCAGCTTTGCTCAGGGCCAGCCGCTGGACAAGGACTTTCCTGTTCTCCTGCAGTTGTTCAACTTGGGAGTTGGTGCTTAAATTAAAACCCAGCGGCTGCCACAGATGCTGAGGATGTGCCATGGCCTGGGAAAGCCACTCTTGAGGGGAGCTGGAGGGACACCAAACCCCTCCTGTGTAACCCACAGCTGCAGCCCAGGTGTCTCATCCCACACTGCACTGCTCAAAAATCAGCTCATCTTGAGGGTGCTCTTGGGTCTCACTGTGACACCCAGCAACAGCACAGCTCTGAAACTTTTATAATTCCACAGGTATTTGATGGATCCATCTGTGCTTCCATGGCTCCAGCCTGTGGGGGACACCTGGGCACATCCCAGTGGCTTGCAAGGCACATGGGCAATGGGGGCTCTATTTAATGTCTGCTTGGTTTTTACACAATAAAATATTTGCTTCTTTGACACACAGGTCCCTTCTTGTTGTTCCTTTCCCCACAGTGGGGGCAGGTCTGTGGAAATTGTGCAGTGCAGAGCTGAGCACCTCCTTCCACAAAAACCCCTCTTTTCTCAGCCTCACCCTTCTTTCCTAGAAGAGATCCAAACTTATTCCTTGATCAGAGGTTTGGGGCAAAAGGATACAGGTCCTTGCACAAATCTTTCCTCTCCATCAGGGATTTCCAAGTCATTTGCTTGGCTGGGAAATTTCCACCAATTTGCATATTCTCCTGGGACCCCCCCGGGACAGCCACAGGGCAGTGGCAGCTTGAAAGGCCAGTTGGGCACTGTTCAGCATTTTGTTTTGCCTGTTGTATTCTTCACCTTCACTTCTCATTTAAAGCAAAGCCTTGCAGCAAGCAGCGTTTTCCTTGTCAGGGATGGATGGGGAGCCTGGGGAGGAGGGCTCACATCAGCACTTTGCTCGGCCGCCTGTCAGCAATTCCCGGCCATTCCCGGCAGCTCCGCGGGGCTGGCAGCCTGGCAGGGGGCAGCTCTGCTCGGGGTGACATTCCCTCTGCTCCCACGTGTCCCTTTCAGGACGTGTGCCTCATGCAAGAAGGCAGCAGATGAAGAAATTGCCTCTAATTAGTTTGAAATTGGTCTTTTTTAATGATTCTGCTATTTCTGGGAGAAAAAAAAAAACCAAGTGCTTTTCTCTCATCAGCGAGTATTGCTCCCCAGAGGGATTTCACAGAATCAGGGAATCACAGAAGGTTTTGGGTGGGAAGGGACCTTAAAAATCATCCAGCTCCTCCCCCTGCCATGGGCAGGGACACCTTCCACTAGCCCAGGTTGCTCCAAGCCCTGTCCAGCCTGGCCTTGGACACTTCCAGGGATCCAGGAGCAGCCACAGCTTCTCTGGGCACCCTGTGCCAGGGCACCACCACCCTCACAGGGGAAGATTCCCTCCCAATATCCCATCTAACCCTGCCTCTGGCAGTGGGAAGCCATCCCCTCATGTCCTGTCACTCCATCCCTCGTCCCAAGTCACTTTTGAGCTCTCCTGGAGCCCCTTTAGACCCTGGAAGGGGCTCTGAGCTCTCCCTGGAGCCTTCTCCTCTCCAGGTGAGCACCTCCAGCTCCCCCAGCCTGGCTCCTTGGCAGAGGGACCCTGGTCTGCCCCAAGCCAACTGGTGGCACCTGAGGGGAGGGACACCAGTGGCACCTGAAGAAAAGACAGCCAGGAGCAGGAATCCAGTGCTGCCCCACCTTCAGCCCCTGAACTCCAACCTACAAACCACCACCAGCCGAGGTGTCACTGTGCAGCTCGTTTTTAATCTCATCTCCAAACGTGACACAAATTGCTCATTATTTGTAGCTGTAGCAAAATGATTCTTTTGACACAAAGCCTTTGATTTGGAATTACTACAGTGTTGGGTTTGCTGGAAATTAAGCTGTTCCTACTTCAACTTGCAGGAGAAAAGCAGATTTGTGTGTAATACGCTGACTTCTTTCTTTTCCTTTTGCTTCGCAGGACACAAAGGAAATTGCTCTGTCACTTGGAATGGCTGTGCACATCCTTTAATGACAAACCAGGACAAAACGATGCTTGGCCTGGAGCGTTGCAGGCTGAGTCCAGAGAATTGTTTGCCCTTGGAGCAGCCAGAGAGCAAAGCTCATGGATGGTGAGACCGAGCCATCCATCAGCGCCGGCCGGCGGAAAATTCGGCGTGTGCACGGCACAGGAGGGAAAGCTCTGGTTCCTGCTCCCCCTGGGAGGCTCAGGGGACACAAAACTGATAGCTGAGCCAGCCAGGAGCAGGACCACGGCCATTTATAGCCTGGAGTGGGAGGACAGGAGTTACTCCCACTGCCCCTGTGTTTCAGCACGTCCCCCTGCTCTCAGCTCTGCGCTGCTGGCAGGGGTGGAGGCCCTGGGGAGGGAAGAGTGGAGGCTCCATGTCACCCCTGGAGAAGGGAGAGTGCTGTACCCAGCACCCCTGTGCCCACATCCCTCCCTCTCCAGGAGGGGCAGACCCTGGCAAAGGGAAATGTCTCCACACCAAATGCAAAAGCATCGAGCAACCAGACTGCCAAGGCTCTAATTAGCATAATTAAAGCTTGCTCTCTTCTCCCACTGGCTGTGCCTGTGGAAAGTCTTCCTCAGAGGAGCAATCTCTGTGAGAGCTCCTTCTTTGCATGATGCCCATCACTCAGGACTGAGTGTCCAGAGCCACCCTGGAGCTTTCCTGCTGGCAGAGCTTCCTTTGGCTCATCACATCCGTCCCTCATCGGCAATGCAGATGAGCTGGGCAGGCTCAGGTGCCATTCCCAGTCCCTGCTGAGGTGGGCACCAGGGCTGGAGACCTCCCTGGTCTCCTCATCACCTCCCTGAACCACTGCACTTTGCAGGAGCTGAGCATCAAGGAGATCATAGAATTCCTGAGTTGGAAGGGACCCACAGGGACGATGGATCCAACTCCTGGTCCTGCACCAGACCACCCTGAGAATCCCACCACGTGCCTGAGGTGCTCTGTGGCCTCCTCCAAAGCTCTGAGAGCAATCAGGGGACTCCATTTAGTGCACTTCCAAATGATTAGCTGGGTCTATGAGCCTCTTTTCCAACAAAGAAGCTGTTTTTCCCAGCACCTGTATCTGTGAACGCTTGGCTTTGACTCCTGACTCTGCTCATGGGGGTGGGAAGCACCCAGAGCTGCACATCCTCACCTGGTAGGGCAGGCAGGGCTGTCCTGATGGGTTGGTGGCTCTGGCAGAAGGATGGGGATGTGGGACCCCCTCCTCTCCTGCGCAGTGTTCAGCTCCTGCCCACGCTGACAGGATTCAATTTCACGGCACTTGGATGCAGTGAGTTAATTCCCGATTGCTGCCATGCGCGGAGCCTCTCTGCCATTAAATGTGTCCCTTCCAAAAGGGAGATAGAATTGAAATTATTCTTCCTTGGGGTGGCTCAGCAGGCGTGGCAGCCTCCCCCTGCACTGCTCACTGTTTGCTGTTGTGGCTGGGCTTGTGCTCCAGCAGTGGCCAAGCCCATCCCCAGCACTGGGACTTCCAAATGGGTTTGGAATGGAGAAACGGGTCTGCGAAGAGATGAGCCAAGAGTTTGGCATGGGGTAGCACTGCAGGGATGGGTGGAAAATGAGAATGGACTGGATTTGCCAAAGCAGTGTGGCCTTGGCCACCCTCCTCATCCCTGTCTGGATAGAGAGCAGGAATTGTGTCCCTGTGCTGGCCAGGACCGCTGAGGGTGACCCTAAATCCCCTGTCCCCATCAGAATCAGGATCTTACCCCTGCCCAGGGTGTCTCCCCACTGCCCATCCCAGCCTGTCAGGAGGAAGGCAGGATGTGCTCCCTGCCCAGCTCCCGCCTTTCCCTCGCTCAGGGCCATCTGTCAGGCTGGGGCTCGTTTTTACCAGGCTGAGCTTTATCCTTATTGAAGTCCCGCTGGGATTCCTGCCTCAGTGCCAGCCAGCCCACACCCTCCTGCCGCGCTGGTGACAAGAGCTTTGTTGTCTCCCGGCAATCCCGGCACAGCCTGGAGCATCCCGGAGCATCAACCACCCCACACCTGCACCTGCCAGCGCCTCCCGCTCTCCGAGGGGGAAAAAAATCCCTGAAGTCAGGACAAGGAGTCAGAGGAAGGAGCTGGGGGCTCTGGGCTGAGGCTCTGCTGGGCTCGGTTTAGGCTGACACTGATGCTGCTGCTCCAGGGGCTGGAAAAGCTGAGATGCAGATGGCAAAGGGGGATGTGGTGGGGCTGTTCAGTGACCTGCCCAGGCTGGCATCTACCAGGAGCAGAAGGGACAGGGCTGGCCCTGCTCTGGACCACCAGGTGTCCCTGGGTGGCTCCCAGGGACACCTGGGAGCCACCCAGGGACAATTAAAAAAATAATGCAGAATTTATAACTCATATCATGCAGAATATAATGCAGAATTTATAACACATATCATGCAGAATATGCATTATAAATATATTATATATATATATAATGTATTATATGCATTATAAATATATTAAATACATTACATATATAATTTATCATATATATAATATTATAAATAAACTATTCTATATAAACATATAGTAGATATATATTATACATTGATACATCTTATAATTACATTGTATATTATATAATACATTGTATATTATAGATTCTCTGTGATGCATTTTATTGATGGATTCTATATTTATAGAGGAGCTTGCTATGTCATCAAATGACTGATACAGTAGGGAAAAGCCACTATAATTATCCTCATTCTATTTTCCACTTTCACTAAGTGTACTTTTGAGCTGTTATAATGGCTATAATTAATTTTGGTTGTTATTTTGGAGTGCAGGCCCACGCAGGCCTTTCCCACCTGTATCCAAGAGACCACTTTTACCACACACCCACAGAAGGCCACCCTGGCCATTAAGGAAAATTGCTGCCAAATGAACTTAATACAAATTAGATTTAGCTGGACAGCCAGTGAACATTCCCAGTAATTTGGAATTGTGCTAAATAATTTATGAGAGGATTGAGGGCAGGAGCTGGGTCCTCATTTCCTCAGCCTGGTGATGAAGAGGCAGCAGTGCCACTGCTGGGCATGAACCCCCACGCCTTGGCCGTGGCTTTGGGGGAAAAAATGTTGTTTTTCCCTCAACTCCCAGCCAAGCTGCTCTTCCTGAGTGATGAATTTCTCTGAATCAAAGTCCTGAAAGAACAGCAAGAGCTTAATTACAGTGCAGGGTCTTTGTGCTCGTGCGGCACATTGCAAACCAGCTGGGGAGAGAGCTCCTGCAGCAGGAACCTCCCAGAGGCGCTGCTGGCACTGGGGTACCTGGAGCAGAGGGAGGCCTTTAAAGGGAATAAAACCCACCCAGCAGAAGCAAATCCCGGATCTGAGGCTCATTTGCATTCCAATTGCAGAGCTCTGGGCTGGCACTGACTCCAACCCACCCAGGCATCACCCACAGCAAAAAACCCAAAACTGGGGCAAGCCGGTGCCGCTGAAAATGCTTTT